AAGCCTCCACCTAAGAAGGCAACCCTCGCAATTCTAACTCCTTCTTACGACGCCAACATGGCGACTGGAGCGTCCTCATCGCAGTCAGAAATTCTTTCATCAATATTACCCTCAAAGGGTGGAAGAGTCTTTATTGGGTTCCCTACAGCGCAGACAACTGGTTTGAATGCCCATATCTCTGCTCCATCTGTCATTCCTACTGTGGAGCGAGAGAGCATAGATTTGAACACACGGTACATCAGCAAATGGAATCTCGAGATGTTGCGGGCAGTCGGTATTGTTTGTCGAATTGCTTGGTCTGCAGAGATGGCTACCATAAAATCGAAACTTGCATCCAGAGTTGGACCATCACGCTCGTCTAAGATTCGGAAAGAAGACATTGTGGATGTACTACCAGAGGCTATTCATACTGCAAATCAATTTGCATTCCGTGAATCTACCCCATCTTCTGTTTTGGGACAGACAATCGAAGATGCATTCTGGATGTGCAACAAGAATGCCTCTATTGAGGTCCTTTCTACCTGTGGTGTCATCCCCAGTCATCAAACGCGCATCGCACCCAAAGATCTCAGCTTCATGGACTCAATTCCTGCTTTGCCTGAGGAGTTTCTACAGGGCGCTAAAGATTTTGTCAAAAGGCTGACCGATTTCGGGTTGGTCACAGAAGTTACGGTATCAGACATCAAGCGTGAATTAGAGTCCAATACTTTGCGACCTAACCAAGTCCTTGAATTCATATCATGGCTTGGCCGTAAAGCCGTCGCTGGTCAGCTTGATAGCTCTTCGGTCCAGAGTCTACTACGCGTAGCAGTGGCTAATGACGAGGACAAAGATGGAGTCACTCGTTTGATTATTTTTGCGGAAATCACCTGTTTTTTGAACCCTCAGCGCATTCCAGCGGAACTGCCCGTACCGCCCAGCGTGATACCTTTCAGATTCACCAAGTCTTTGAACAAGCATGACCTGGAGGCACTTGGCTGGGGCGAGCTGCAAATCGTTCCTTGGCTTAGCTGGATCGTCAAAAATTGCGGAAATCGCAGTATCTTCTCAATAGATCAAGATATCACGCAGTCAGCAACCTTTTCGGGCCAGGTATTGCCTGTTTTGTCAAAGCAGTGGGAAACCCTCAGTCAAGCTTCAAAGCAAAGTATCGTCGCCACACTTCAACCCCAGACTGTGATCCCCACGAAACTTGGAATGAAGCAGCCCGTACAAACATATTTTGCTTCTGTGCGTCTTTTTGACGACCTGCCTGTGGTTCATGGCCTGAATGGTGTCAAGGAGAAAATCCTAGTCCAACTTGGAGTTCGCAAAACCGTGGAGCTTGGTGTGATCTTTGAGCGTCTGATCAATACTCCGATATCTAGTGATGTGAAAGGTCCTGCGTCAAAGAAATGGAATCATGTTGATCTCATCCGCTACCTTGCCTCTGTACGAGAGGATATTCCTGCGAACGACATTCAGAGACTAAAGGAGACGAGCATCTGTACTGCCGAAAGTGGGAGTGGCATCGAAGGCACACGTTACAAGATTTCCGAGCTTTATGAGCCGAAGGATGCGCTCCGAGCTCTCGGCTTACCGGTTATCGAATGGCCGGGGATTTATACCAGCAGCAGCAATGAGGGTAAATTCCTTACGATGATGGGGCTCAAGAGCTGCCCATCAGCTGTTGAACTAGTGATGCTCATGTCAGCCGGGGCCACAGAGAAAGATAGTCGAGCAAGCAAGGCTCTGTCATATTTCCTCGAGGAGTATTACATAAATGGTTATGTTTCGTTTGATATCAGTGCGGTAACAGTGCCGTTCCTTCCCATTGAAGGATCTGATAGCTTAAGCGCTCCGAAGAAGTGCTTTACCGATCAAGGTGCTGCCTTGTTCGGTTTCAAAATTCTCAGGAACAACCTCCACCCTCATGCCTCCAGACTGGGAGTCAAGGCTCATCCTCCCATGACAGACTGTCTTCAAATTCTCGCGAAGCAGCCCCCGACTACGCAGAGGGATGCACGGATTGTGTTTAAATACCTGGCGGGCAGAATATCTGATCTAAAACAGCAAGATATAAACCGCATTTGCCAGGCTCCTATAATCCCAATTCCCATCCACCATCAATCAGAGAAGGGAGCCAAATACCGGCTCGTGGCCCCTAGGCTGTGCTATCTCGGAGACGGGGAGGACTACAAGGACATATTTGACTTTGTCGACTTTGGACAGGAGGCAAATCTCTTCCTCATGGCCATCGGCTCAAAACGAGAACCGACTAAGATCGAGATTGCACGCATGCTGGTCAAAGAACCCGCACGCATATCTGCAGCATTCCAAAGTTCGGAGAAATATCTCATGCTTCTCAGGACTCTCGCGGAGGTGCTCCCGGTGCTGAAGAAGGATAAGGATCTTTTTGTTGAGATGCAGAGAGCAAAATTCCTTCTTGCTAGTCGAGACATCCCACCCTCTGCGTCAGACCATGGTGGCAAAGAAAAGTCGAAGGAGTTCCATGATGAGGAGGACGATATGGACATCAAGGAATGGTGTCTTGCCTCTGCCAAAGACATTGTCGTGGTAGACGATTTCCAAAGCTTCAACCTTTTCAAAGAACACATTTTTGCCGCTCCACAAGAAGAGGCATTGGAGGACTTCTACGCTACTCTTGGGGCTATACCCTTAAGTGGACTTGTTGAAGAACACGCACGAATTGGTAGTATCGCCTCGGATCAAACCCCTGCATACAAACTAGAGAAATTGATCCTAGAGCGTGCGCGGCTTTTCTTGCATGATCAGCCCGCAGACTATGTTCTGCATGGAGCCCGATGGTTGGAGCATTCCTTCAAAGTCCAGGTTGTGACATCGATCAGTCTTACAAGATCGCTGAAAGGACGACGGGTGTCGCACACGCAGAAAAAGAATGCGATTGTCGCCCGGCTGACCTCAGGCGTTGGCTTATGCATCTGTCCAGATCGATACGACCTGTATGAGATCAGTCAGGCATTGGTGCAGTTGATTTTGAAGCGACCGAAGCTGCACTCTACCCTTACATTGGAAATGCTATTGAAGACCGATCTCTTAGAACTCCGGGCTCGAGGTTACAACGTGGAACGTATTCTGAAGCAAAAAGCCCAAGAAGCTCGGGTCGCGGAAGATAAACGCCAAAAACAGATCGAGCAGGAGAGGCGTGCTTTGCAAGAGAGAGAAGCTTCCTGGGCGGCGGGGCAAGCTCAGCGTGACTCTCAACTGGCCGACGAAGAGAGGGCCGAAGCACAGACACAAAATTCGATGCCTGGCGTTTTCCCAGAATCCCCGAAAAACGAGAAGACCTTGTCAGAAGAAGCACATGCCGTTCCCCCAGAGACAATGCCGAAGCGACCCAGAGGCTTATTTGGCAATCTATCGAAACGATTTGGCTTAGATATTAGACCGTCAGGCTCAAACTCCGGCACTGAAGAACAATCCCGATCTCTGCTTCCTGGGTCTTCCACACCTCCACCGCCTTACGCCCCCAATGACCCCCAGACTCAGCAAAAACGCCCAGAACAACCTGTAAATGGCAATTCGCCGCATCGATTGAACTCCGAGCTTCTCTCCGCCGTCCAAGCATGCCGACCTCATGGATCCTCCGACGTGTACAGCCGCCCAGAGACAAATCAAATTCAAGAAAGCAAGTCCTACTGTGACGAGCGCCCAAGCCACGATCTAGAATTTGTCGCCACGCTCCCTAGTGGCATGAACGTCCTCTTCACAAAGGCAGTCACCGAACGATCTGCCTTCCTCGCGAAAAACCGCATAGGGTTCAACCTCTTTGCGTCTATCCTCCTTGACTGTGGCATGATCTTCTCGATGCGGGCCGACAGCCTGACCATCTTCTATGACCCGGGCGGCAAGACGATCGCATTCAATCGCGCGGGCAGTATTTTCTGTAACTACTTTTACTTCCAGTCTTTGCAAGAGCAGGAGCTACTCAATAGCCCGAGCCCAGATCGCACTGATGCTATTGTGTATTGGTGGGTGATTCTGTGCCATGAGCTAGCGCACAACTTAGTCGGAGATCACAGTTCTGCGCACAGCTTCTACACGGAGGGCTTTGTGACGCAATATTTCCCTAAGGTTGCTGTCAAGCTCGCTTCGCTGCAGGCGCCAGCCCCAGCTGCTCAGCCTGGACAGTCTTGATATTTTGCCTTGATAAATACTATTGGCCTTTCTATTCGGATGGAAAGTGGATTAGCCTTGCTAATTAAATATTTTGATTCTTTTCTTTGCAAATAGTGAATGTGAAAATCCTTTCAAGGATATCTCCTCCCATAAATGTGTTTATGATATATTGGCACCTCATGTTGGAATTTGACCGGTATCATGCACTCTAGTTATTTGTCCCTCGTTCTCTATAGTCTGACATGTAGGATGATACAACCCAGACCCTGTATGAATGTCTATTTATAGGTCTAACTTCGTGGCTATATATACCTCTTGCGTTGTTGAGGAGCTTACAGACAGTAGTATTTGATATATTACATTGTTCTTCTCACCGAAATTTTATTTTTCAAGGGCTTCAAGTAAAATAATCAAGATCTTCCAAAGTCATTCTCATAAAATGTCCCAATATCAAAATCCATTGCCCTCCATTGCCACATCCGCGAGACTTCCGTCGGTACCCGCTTTTGACCTTCGAATTTATCTCGCAACCTTAATTTTTTTTCTTTCTTGCTTCAACAACAATGCATTGTTAGCACACTCGCATCTTCAATTTCATGGTTAACGTCCTCATTTGAAGGCTATACTTCTAAGTATTTTTTTGTTGTCTTCGTTGGGACATGTTCTGAGCATATTGCCACTCCCGATCGCGCTCCATCAGATAAGCGGCAAACTTGCTCCGAGTAGCTAATTCAACGCTAAGGATTGAAGATCTGCTATGCAGATGAGCTTTGATCACTGAGATTTGATTTGATCCCAGTGCTTGTTCCGGGATCGTCGAAATTCTCCGGTATAGTTCGCCATCAAATTCAAACATCAGCATGGCACCAATGCTCGGTGATTGGGATGCCCCAAACAATGAAAGCAGAGTGCCGCAACTTGATCCCACCTCCTCGACTAAGAGCATCCTTTATGTCGATGCCTATGACTCATTCTCCTACAATGTTGTCGCCATGCTGGAGGAGACCCTGGGGGTCAAAGTCACAATAATGACTATCGATTCAGAATGGCCCAATTCCAATATGAAAGAGTTTCTCCAGCACTACGAAGCTGTCGTTCTTGGTCCAGGACCAGGAGATCCCAACGTGCCTAGTGATGTCGGTATCATGAAAGATATTTGGGACCTTCATGACTCAGAGCTCCTTCCAGTTCTCGGTATCTGTCTGGGCTTTCAAAGCCTTTGCCTTCATCATGGCGTTCCCATCGAACGACTCCCGTACCCGATTCATGGCCAAATCCACAAGATTTCCACGTCGGCTAAGGATATTTTTGAGGATCTACCGGAAGTAGAGGTGACGCTTTATCACTCACTTTGTGCCAACTCGGCTGCTTCAACATCGACCGATTTGGAATATTTGGCTTGGCTGGCTCTAAAGGATCGTCCGGAAACACAGATACCCATGGCGGTTCGCCATCTTGAGAAGCCATTCTGGGGTGTTCAATTCCACCCGGAATCCTGCAAATCAGAAATCAATGCCTGCAAGGCACTGCTCCGGAATTGGTGGAAGATGGCTCTTGGATACAACAAGCTCGTTGGACGCGGGGGATATTGTTCCCTTCCCAGCACAGTCATCAGCCCCCACACAGCCCCTAGTGCATTCCCTGGTATTGCTTATGATATGTTCAACTGGAGCAAGTCAACTTCGAAAATTTCGTCTTTCCGGTCCCTCGACCGGCCTAGTTTGACCGCCGAGGCTATAAGTGAAGTGTTCAACAAACCAGGTTCACCAGCAGTCCTTTTCCAATCCAATGGCCAATACAGTATCGCATCGGTGCCGAGTCCTGGCTCATGGCGGTTTGAATACAATGTTGAGACAGATAAGATTCGAATGCTCCAGCTGTATGGCGACTGTAAAGAGGTTGAGAGTTATCTTACAGTCGCTCAATTGTGGGATGCCTTACGGTATTTGATGGAAATGAAGAAAGTTGATTCAGGAAATTCTCAGGTGCCATTCTGGGGTGGCTTCCTGGGTTATCTCTCCTACGAACTTGGTCTCACTTGTCTTCCTCACACGGGCCATGCGCAGGCTTCTAAGTCACCTAAGCACTCCAGCACCGGGAAATCTGATCCTTCCTTTGCGGATCCACCCGATGTCAGCCTTCTGTGGTGTGAAAGAAGTGTCGTGGTTGACAATACTACTGGCACTGTTGTTATTCAATCCACTCGCGATGATGATGCGGGTTGGCTTGATGAGACACTGCAGCAGCTGCAAAACTTTTCGGACAGTGGCAATGATACATCTGCGGATCGGGGCTTGGACTCAATTCTCCGGGAGAGCAAAATTCAGCTCCCCGAGGAAAAGGAGTACAAACGACAAATTGAGTCATGCAAAGCGGAGCTGGAAGCTGGTGAATCTTATGAATTATGCCTAACCTCTGAGACGAAAATCACATTGCCAGTTCCAGAATTAGAGTCGGATCGTTTGATGTTCCCCTGGAAGCTGTACAGACGACTCAAAACATACAATCCCGCTGCATTCAGCGCTTTCGCAGATCTAGGAGATACAAAGATCGCCAGCAGCAGTCCTGAGTGTTTCCTCAATTGGGACCGTGAATCGACACTGGAGATGAAGCCAATGAAAGGCACAGTCCGAAAATCACCAGATATGACCATGGAGAAGGCCTGTGAGATCCTCGGCTCCACGAAAGAGATGGCTGAGAATCTGATGATCGCGGATTTGATCCGGCACGATCTGTACGGCATCTGCGGATCAGGTGGCGTTCATGTTGAGAAGCTGCTCGAAGTCGCAGATTACGGCCGAGTCTACTCAATGATCACACACATAAAGGGCAAGATCCGGCCCAATCATCCTGGTTTCGCTGTGCGACATATTTCTCACCTGAATACCCCCAACATGTCCGTCCACGGCCTGACCACCCTCCAGCGGTGCCTCCCACCGGGATCTATGACTGGTGCGCCTAAGGAACGCTCTTGCATGCATCTTTGCACGATTGAGAATCGCAAGCGTGGCATTTACTCCGGTGTGATGGGTTTCCTGGACCTTGGCGGAGGTGGAAGCTTCTCGGTTCTGATTCGCTCGGCATTCACTTGTTCTGGTGGTCGAGATTACACCGAGAATAAGCAGCAGACATGGCGAATCGGCGCCGGGGGTGCCATTACCGCACTCAGCACAGCGGAGGGCGAATGGGATGAGATGTTGACCAAACTGCGTGTAGTTTGCAACGTCTTCACGCCGCTTGATGCGGACGAGAGATCAGCTACGACTTCTTAACTATTCGGCGCAGCTTTGTTTATTGGTCATCTTGACTTATGCTTGATCGCATTATGATCCATGCTTTTCCCTGCTTTCAACAACCGGATCCATGCGATGGGATAGTGATTTGATTCAACATTCAGCGTTGGCGTTGGCGTTTTGGTTGCCTTTGGTTATTGTATCAGTACCTGTATATGTGTATATAGTCCATTCAACTGTAGAAATTAGAAGTACGTATATTCAGCTCTTTCTCCCCCGTCGCCATCATATACTGTCAACATGCAAACAAAGCAAACATAATTTTCTCCGCAGCCTCAACTTCCGAGCTGCGTCTTTTCCTTAAACCTCCTGCACCTCCTGCGTCATTTTCAAAAATAAAGCTTGTCGCGAGCTTTGATAGACCGAGTTGACTCCGGTCTATCATTCCGGAGTCGCAAATGGCGAACCAAGATGCCTCAATGGAGGAGATCCTCTGGCGGTCTCCCCCGCACGTCCAGATGATGGGAGGATTCCTTCATTCCAACAACAGTGGGTTGTACACCTTACCACACCTGGACTTGAGATTAATCTTCTCGTCAATTAGTTCTATTTTACTTTGCCGAATCCCCTTTCTTTGATGCGACCTCCAACAACGCCTCGCTCGCCATCCAAGCCAACTACAACGATGCCTTCCGTCATTTCGTCGAGACGCGCGAAGCGTTCGAAGCCCGACTGAAAACAATGCAGGGTCTGGAGTTTATCGTGTCATATGACCCCCTCCAAGCAGCCGCACAGACAGACACACGCTTCGCCCACGAGCCATCCAACATCTGGGTGATTCGCAAGCAGAACCGGCGGAAGAGGAGCGGCATGGACGACGAGGTGACCGTGATAGCTACATACTTCATTGTCGGCGACTGCATCTACATGGCCCCTTCGGTTGCGAGTGTTGTGGGGAATCGAATTGTATGTATTGCCTCGGAACTCACGAACCGCTCCGAGACAAGTATTCTAATGAATCCTTCCCCGCAGCTATCAGCCGTCACATCCCTAACCCAGCTCATGAAATCCGCTGCGACATTGCCAACATTCACTGCCTCCCATGGACACACCTACTTGCCACCGGGAGTCCGCAGCAAAGAGCCCGCCGGAACCAGCCAAGCCCCCCAGAGCAAAGAAGCAACACCCATGCCAGACGTATCCTTCCCAGCCACCGAATCCTCCCAATCAACCAGTAAATCAGGCCTGGGTGGCTCATCTACAGGCTCCAAATATCAAGACACGCGCAGTCTAGCCGAATCATTCAGCCTGCTCACGCGCTACGGCGACGAATTCATGGACGAGAGCCCCCTCGTCGGCGAACCAGGATCGTTCATCCTATCACGGACTGGCGGCGAGGCTACCGCCTCGGCTGTTAAGGGTGCGCCGAAGACCGCTGCTAATTTGGCTCCGACTAGTACGCCTTCTACCCTGCCTGTCAGAGCGTCGACGCCACAGGTCCGCGTCGAGACGCCTGGTAAGGCTTCCGATAAGAGCAATTCGCCGCCTAGCTCTACAAGTGATAAGGGGAAGAGGAAGAAGGCCCGGATCGTCAGCTGAGTTGTTTACTTGATACCCTTTTTTTGCATCTCTAGGCGTTTGGGTGCTGGGCATAGCATTTACAGGGACTGGTATCTAGGGGCTATCAGCCGAGTTTGGCATACATATCTTTGCCTGATCGCTGAGCTTTAATTCATTGTCTCTCGAATCATTTAGCTGCTGTAGCTCATCTTTCTCTTTTTCGGTGCCTTCTCTGTGGCCTAGTAGTCGCATAGCTAAAGATGTAAAGGATAGAAGGGAGAGCCAGGCATATCCAAAGATGAAAATGGAGTGTCGAAATTGATACTTGGTGTACCAAGGTCTTGAATAATGAGTCTGCTCTGTTTATCACTGTCCTTGTGGGCACTGCGTTGTGATAAAGCCCGATTTGATATCATCAAGAAGTGCGTATACTGCGCGTCTGTGAAGCATAGCTGCATTTCTGTAAGTCTGAGACAGAAGTGGAAGAAACTTCGGCATGCGTGGGAGCATCAAAAAACTTCTCCTCCTCGGAAGTCACAGACTCTTTCAATGCGGGTGCTGCGGTATTTTCCGCCTCAGAAGTCGCAGACGGCTCTAGCGCAAGTGCGGCAGCCTTTTTCGCCTGGTTGACAGAACGGGAAAGACACTTCACATCCTGCTCGACGGCACGCACAAGCGCCACGCGAGCACCAGAAGCACGAAGGGCCGTCCGACGACATCAACATATCCCACGGCAGCAGTGTGAAGATGGCAAAGATAAATGCCTTCCACGAGTACACCGTCTTGAAGTCAGTGCTGATGATTGAGCATGAGGAAGCAAGGAAGATAGCTTCTTTCTTCCTACGAATTCCATGTCCGAATCATTGGCTCACAGTCAACACAGTGTGGAAATAGACAGCTCCTAAAGTATGACAGACAGAAGGAGCCACAGCATTTGCCGTCGTGGTGAAAGGTGAAACCAGGTGAGGGACTCAGTATCGGTCCGTCAAACTTTGTATCGCCATGTCGCCCCTTTATCTTGAATGAGAGAAACGGTGGAAACTCCGATATTCCCACTAGGAAAACTTGTTCCAGGTACCTCATATAACTGAGGCTTTCCCTGGATGATGGAGAGAGTTGACAGAATTGATGAAATCGTATTTCAACACAGACATATATATAAGCATAGACATATAAATAGCCAGTATACTATAAGACAATCAATAAAAGAAGAGGAGCATCCTGTATTGCAAGGGCAAGTGACTGGTTATATATAGACCCAGGCAACAATCAAGTTGTCTATAAGAGCAAATTGTTCTATAGGCTTCCATGTATGATACTCAACATAAGAAACAAAAATGACAATTTAACAGGTCTCTAGGACTGAACAACCTTTATTCAAGCCATGGCAAAGGAAAACAATGGAATCAATTTTCTCTTGTGATCTTAACAATCCCCTTTTAGGTGAATTTATACTCCATCGGTGGAACAAACTCTCAAGTTGCTGCATGGACTCAAAAAGCATTAAGAGAATAAACAAAGAGTATTAATTCGACTTCTTTGGACCTAGTTATAGTACTATGAAGTTGACTAATAGCAATAACTAGAAGAGGACATAATATTGAAGCTATCGAGTGTACCTAAATAAAGTTGGCTTTTGAGGTACCAAGAAGTATAAATCAGTGACTATATAGCTTATTCCGATCACAGCCTCATGTCCCTACTACCTAGATAGCCAAAAAATTGTTATAAGTATCATACTGAATGTTTAGTGTTGATATAAAAAGCCCAGCTGTTGTGTTGTTTAGCCGTACACAAGCCCTAGTCAGTTAATTCAAGTTGTACTAACTAGTGGCTGGACTCTCGCAAACATACAACACAAAATCGAGCTGCAATATATAACATATATAGAGGCATTTATTTGGAAATCTTACATCAAAAGGTCCTTTGAAGAACAAAGTCGGAGCCCTGACGTTATACTATGTTATGTGTACTACGTTATCTCTTATCGGAGTGGGGGATTACCTGTTTGGTCCCAGGTTGCCTCTTGCCTCTTGCTGTTCTCTTCCTTCTTCTCTAATTAACGCCCTTCCAAGACCTCTTCATTGTTCATACACTCAGCCCCTAATTACCATACCAACATGGCGGACTCGGAGACCAAACCCGCTGTCGTCTGTGTATTGTGAGTCGTGCCCCTCACCACCACTTTCAATGCCACAACCACACCGTATCGTCTACCAGTCTGGCGTGTGTACCTCATGTCTTGAACTATACACTAACAAACCCCCCTCGGGTTTCCAGCTGCGGCTCCGTACCAGGCAACAGCCCAGTACACATGGAAGCAGCGCGAGCGCTCGCCGAAGAATTCCACAAGAACAACGTGCAACTAGTCTACGGCGGCGGCACAACAGGCCTAATGGGCGAAGTTGCGCGCACGCTAGTCTCGCTCTCGGGCCCGAAATCCGTGCACGGCATCATCCCACGTGCACTAGTCGAAGTCGCAACAGTCGGCGGCATGCGCCAGCACATGGAAACCCAGTCCACTGCCAAGCAAGCCGGCAAAGCTGCCGAGCGGGTGGTCGACTCTGATGCTGTTCATACCGGTGGAATCCCCGAGTCCGAGTACGGCATTACGACCATTGTCGCCGACATGCATACGCGCAAGCGTCTGATGGCCACGAAGGTCCTTGAGGGCGGGCCTGGGTCTGGGTTTGTTTCGCTGGCTGGTGGGTTTGGCACTATTGAGGAGGTTATGGAGATGACGACGTGGAATCAACTGGGCATTCATAAGGTTGCGGTTGTGTTGTTGAATATCAATGGCTACTGGGATGGCTTGTTGGCTTGGGTGCGCAATGCCGTCCAAGAGGGGTATATCAGTGCTAGTAATGGAGAGATCCTTGCGGAGGCCAAGGAGGTCTCTGAGGTCTGGCCGAAGTTGCTGGCTTATCGGGTCAGCACAGGGCGGATGCAGTTGAACTGGGGAGAGGAATGAAGCTGCTCTGTTTGATCATCAAGCAATGGGGTACCAGTATATAGATGTCGTTTTGTTTGTTTGGGTTTGTTTCGCATTTGTTCGGGTTTCGGCAGTGAAAGACTTCAGGCATACAAATAGATTACTTCGTTGAGAAGAGCCTTATGAATTGATGATTGGATAACTGAGATCATTGGACGCAAACACAAGACAAAGCATTATCAAAATTTCGTGTCTATGCGAATCATTAAATCAAACCAGACATTTATGAATCAACCTCCATGGACTCGCCCTCCGCACCAGCGGACTCACGCTGCTCCAGCACCTCCAGTAGCACAGCCGTGTCCTGGCCCTCGTACAGCTTGAAGCTCTCCTTCTTGCCATTAGTCACACCGACAACACCAACAGAAGTATTGTCCACTGTAAGCTCCTTATCCTGAGACAGTGTCTCCTTTAGCGCGCTCAACCCATGTTGGATCAGCTCGTCACGACTGCAGTCCTCGAACTTGTCGAGATTACGCTCCAAATACGTACGTGCCATCTGCGAACGGGCACCGATGGCACAAGCAAGCATCTCGTGTGTCAGCCCAGAGGGCTGGAACTCGAACAAGTGCGGGCCGGCCTCGTCAACACCGGCCACCAACAAACCCACACCATACGGACGTTTCCCGTAGTGTTGGGTGTTGGTCTGCGCGCGGTCGCCGATCTGGGCGACGATTCGGTCCAAGGGAATGGGCCGACCGTAGGTCATCTTCGAGCCCAGGGACTGCTGCTTCATGAAGTTTGAGAGGACGCGAGCGTCTGATGCGAGGCCGGCGATGGCGATCGCCATGTGCGAGTCGATCTCGATGATCTTCTTCTGGTACGAGGAGAGCTCTTCTGCGTTGCGCTAGATGCCAAATGTTAGTTTTGACGGTTTGGTCTGTTCGTTCTCTGCTGTAGGTATGCGAACCTTGAGTCCAACCAGCACGGCATGTGTCTTATTCACCAACCCCACGACGACGGATCCTTGCTTCACTGCTTCCTGTGCATATTCCACTTGAAATATCCGACCCTGTGGAGAGCTAGGATCCTTTGAGTCAGCATCTGATGAATCCGAGGGAGCACCTGGTCTTACAAGGTGACGGCATCGTTGTCGTAATTGTTTCTGAACATCGTGGCGGGAAGGGTTGAATGGATATCAAAGCAAACAGAGAAAGTGGATTATTGTTGATAAATAGAGATTCAGGAACAGCGACGTAAGAATCCGAGGGATAATCCGGTGATGGAGGAGGATGGGGGAGCTGGAGCAGGCAGTAAAGTGACGCGGTGTGAAGCATGAGCTGTTGGTGCCTCAGGCGCTAACATCCAGTGACCTTCAGGCGCCAACGTCACTCATTCTCGAGCTCATCTCCAGCTTGTCGCACGACTGTCCTTCTTTGATTTCCCGCACTCAGCCAATGGGGCTGTCATTGTTGACCTGCTCTTAATATCGTCTCCTGGATCCACCTAATTCAACGGCTCCTACGTCTCCCATCTTTAATCTCATCGATCGGCTTTCGGCGTCTCCGCAATCATGGCCGCTGGACTCAAGACCATCATCGCCCTGTCCTTTGTATGCTTCGTTTCGCTGTTCGCCTAGCATCTGAATATTCTCTAACTTTTGACCAGGTTCTCGCAATTGGTTTCCTCCTCGTTATCCTCTCTTCCGCGCTATGGCACAGGTACTGGCCGCTGCTGGTGGTCGGCATTTACGTTGTTGCGCCGCTTCCCAACTGGATCTGCCAACGATGCGCAAACCCAGATGATTTTATGGACAGTTCGAGCAACTCTGCGATGGACTTTGGACGGTTCATGACCGGATTCTTGGTTCTTACTGGTATCGGTACGTCGTTGGTTAACAACAACCCCTCTTGTGGGACATATCATCACTCGACCGGTCGGTTCTTGATGTTCAGGCCGCACTATGTCCATTTTAATGCCTCATCATTGTGCCATTGATGATTATCAACTGACCTGTCTAGCACTTCCTGTCGTCCTCGCCCACAGCGGCGCAATCGAGATCCCAGCAATGATCATGTCGATTTTCGGAGGCTTGTTGATCTATGGCACCATTATTAGCTTCTCGATGTTCTTCCAGGAACAGGAGGAGTTCTGATCGTCCAGAATGGATGAGGCGCGGGGTCAAGGGCTATACTTCTACTGTATCCCAGTGCCCCTCACGGTATCCGGCCTTCACGATGACATCTGATTTTCTGCTGTTTCTTTGATTTCAGCGTATGCTTGATATGCTTGATATGCTATGTATGAGTGATTTGGTGTGGGGTGTGCCTCACTTTAAATGGCAATGGCCCCAGCACCTGGCTGTGCTACTCTAGGTGTACTATAACGCAATGGATATAGAGAATTCTTCTGAAAAACGAGGAATCCAAATCTACTTAGTTTTACTGCTTCCTTTTTACCTTACTGATATATTCGGTCTATTAATTGTACACGTGACCGCGCGCGGACTCGGCGCGTCTGCAGAGATTCGGAGATAACAGCAGATCAATTTAGAAACGACACAACTATACCAGATTGATGTCACTATGCTGAACCCATGAAAGGCCTTTTCGGGATCCAGTTAACAAGATGAATGTCTGGACAGGATCCATTCCTCTCGGCTCGGACTCCAAGTTAGAAGGTAAGCCATACGCGTATCGCATCCTGTTCCTCGCTAACCACTTGACCAGGGATTCGACTGGTGGATCCAAATTCCTACTCACAGTCCGAGCTATCCAAGGAGTCCCAGCTCAATCTCCGTAGCTTCGTGAACCCAGCACTCATCCCACTGCATGCACGCGCCGGTCCTAACCTCGAACTACACACATCCCACGCGGGGACATCAAGATGGCTCCAGAGGAAGCTAACAGGCGCCCTATGGCTGAACGAAGAAGATCCAGCACTCCAACAATCATTCCAATGCCCAGTGGGTCTGCTGGTCAGCGTCGAAGGCAACACCAAATCAGGCAACGCAACCACAACAAGCCTATTAGTCTACGGCGTTCTATCCAGCGCAGCATCATGCACACGCCCGCCTACCCCGCCACATTCATCCCCCTCCGAGATCCCAGATCACAGAAATAGACCACATCGTGCTCCATATGAACTCAGAATCTACGCCGTGCCACTATCAACATCACGACTCACGCAAGCCCAAGCCTACCCATCCCCACCACCCTCCAACCCGGACCAACCCATCGCCAACCCGCGCTGCGCAGAGTTCCTACCAGACATAAGCTCTCCCAGCCCCAAACGCAAAAGAGTAGCAACGCTCTTCGAAGTAGTCGCACAGCACCACCGCCGCGTCCGCCAGCGAGGCGGCGAAGCCGTCTCACAACTAATGGCACCTTCACGACCTCTTTCCTCATCCCAGAACCTACAAACACTCCGCATCAAGCGCGAGCCCGAAGAAGACGGACCCACCCTCCCGTCTCTCGACCGGATCGTCTCCCACCGGTCCAGATCCGTCTCTATCGGAGCAGGTCTACATCGCCCAGGTAGCGTACGCGGCCGCACAACGCCAGCCCTGAATGCCGATCCACAAAAGCGCGCGCCTACTCCGAACCCGTGCTTGGATTCTGGCCCGCGACGTGGAGCACAGATGTCGCAGGGCCAGGGCCCGTCATCTCTTTCGGTCTCCGAGGAGAAACCGGCGTCCACGCCAGGCTCGCCGGCTAAGGATCCGGATGCTGTGATTGCGGATAATAAGACTCTCATCACGCGCACCGTCTTGACTTGTATGCGGCTGTATGGATTCCACCGTGCGGATATGCGCTCTGCGTCGGGTAAGCCGCCAGGTGGTGCGGGTGCGGAGCCTGAACTTGATGTCTCGGGCACGACGCCGGCGCCGGAGGCTTTGCGGGCTGAAACCCCGGCACCGGGGATCACTTCGGATGATGATGAGTTCAAGGTTATGTACCATGCGACGTACAAAGCTGCTGCTTTTGCGCTCCGCAGGTACTTGAAGCAGGCACCGGGAGTGGCGCCTTCAGTCTTGAAGAAGGAGAAGGCTATGACTTGCATTGATGAGTTACTGAGGTTGTTCTGCGAGGAGCATTGAGGGTCCGAGGTAATGGTGATTTTTACGATTTTATGAATGCATATCTGGTGTTCAAGGGGGCTTCTTTTAGGCCTTGGTTTCTTGATGCATAGCTGAAATGATACTTTTCTCTCGATAATGTTTACTTTACTGTTTACTTATAGAATACCATGGTATTCTAGATATTTCAGAGGCTGTCATAATCAGGACTCCTAACTTGAGAACACGCAAAACATTGAGGAATGTGAATGAATTCATGCTAAAGCGCCAATCCCGGCCAAAAGACGTGAAAGCATAATGCATCCCAGCAAAAAGTCATCAGAGCAAAAATCGAGTAGAATACACAAAGACCAGTTATAGATAGAAACAGTCCTCCTCACAGTGCCAGATTGTAGGTGTAGTCATCTTCAATGTTCTGAGAGACCCAGAGGACGATAGAGCTAGATCGAGAATAGCATTGTTAGCACGCATGCACAACTCGAATAACAAATCAGACAAGACACATACCTGAGCATAACAAGGCCATTAGCCACAATATTCGCGATTCCAAAGTAGAGCGTCTGGATCGGATAATCCTTGATGAGGTACTTGAGGACCATAACCGTCTACGAACAAGCGAGTCAGTAAAGCGTAGTAAAGTAGGGGGGGGGGAAGACATATACATACCACACTCCCAGCCAATCCCCCAGCAAGCAACGCGAATCCCAAAAACAGCACAAATCTCGCCTTCCACGCAACCCCACTCCCGCTGTAACTAAAGCTATCAGCCTGCAGCCGGCTCTTCTCAATCGAGTTGATAACCAGCATTCCCAGCACGGAGCAGATACCGGGGATCCAGTCGACGAATTTGATATGCACGTCTGAGCCGTTGCGCGGGCTGCGCGAGAATGCCGCGACGTCGATTAGGAAGAAGAAGCCTGCTGCGAACTGTGGTTTTGTTAGCTTCTAGCTCTTTGGGTTTTTGGTTTTTTGTTTGAGGTAGATGTTATGTTCAATTCTGTTTTATTTTGATTTGGAGTTGAGGGCTTTGGGCTTGGGGTGTCTGCGACGAGCAAGTGAGGCCGGAGGTGGATCGGATGCTTACCAGCGCGCCTGCCACGTAGACGCCGCCATTGCGGACGGCGGAGTTGTTCAGCCACTCTGGCTTGGAGAAGCGGAAGAGTCGGTTGCTTGAGCTGTCCATTTTGGGATTGTGGGGGATGGGGGTCTTGGTTGGGGATGTTGCTGGTGAGAGCTGAAGTCCAATGACGATGTCTGGTGGAGAAATGTTGTTCCGAGATATCTATGGATATCATCAGTCAAGGCAACGTGAGCTCTAATTTGTTCGGAGTATGAATTCATTTCTGCTTTTCTTGAGATATTTCATTAATGAGCTACAATACAGTGTGAATTTGGTTCTTTAGGGCATACTGCTACAACGAAACGGTCCAGTTTAGGCAGCATAGGTACAGATTCAAACATCGGGATTTGACATTCTTGATCGTCGGAACTCGTGATTGCATTCAATGTAGGACAAAAGCCCCGGGGTATGTACAATTCAAATCTATGCTTGAACCACAAAAAATCAGGTTGTTTCATGTTGATGCAACTCTTAGGCAACAAGAAACCATTGCAGAACCATTTCGGATATCCGCAAATCAAATAATCGCAGGCATTTACCAGCAGTGAAGCCTAGCGTCGTCATCATCATAGCATTCAACGCAGTTGCAGTAGCAACATAATATGTTGCCTGTTGCATTGCGAGCCCCAGCCCTTGGCACGATACAAGGCCAGTTCCAAGAACGGACTCGCATTCAGTGGGTACCCTGCTGCCTCTGTATTTTTGTGTATTCACTCTTTCAGTCCAGTCACAACTCGCTCCATTCATGCGGAGGCTTCGGTCGGGTGAGACCGCAGCTGATCGATGATCGTATCAATGCCTTCCATATCGGCGGCATCGCGCTTATCGGTGGGATAGCCTTCTGGAAGGCTCTTGTGCAGAGCATCCAAGGCAGGCTGGTGGTTACGGACCGCAGAGGAGATAGCGTAAACGGCCTTTTTGCGGGTTGCGGGGTCTGAGTCTGTCGTGGCGAGATTGACGAGAGTAGGCATTTGGTTCAGCTCGACGAACTGTGGATGTGTCAGTATTTGGTCAACATGCTTGTAGGTCAATCGGGAGTTTTCATACATGATCCTGCGCCTTGGGGTTGTTCTGCACGGCTGTTCCCACACACCAGGCCGCCATACGTCTGAGTTCAGTCTCGTCGTGCTGGAGAAGCTCGACAAGCGGCTTCCATAAATTGAGCGGGATGAGGTTGTTGGCATTGTCAATTCCCTCAATCAGCTGCTCGAAGTTGTCGAATGCGATCAACTTGTTCTCCAGGTCGGACTCGTCGTCGTGTACGACCTCCATTGCGGCCCGCATCAGGTCGGCCTCGGAGGGACCGCCGAATAGTGTGTTCACCATTTGTGGGGTCAGGTTTGACGCAGCTGCTGGGCGACTTTGGGCACTGCTGCTCTCGTCATCGGCGCCTGCAGCTGGCTGTGTGTTGGCAACACTCCATTTGAGGAGCTTGTTCATTTCGGGGTCCATGGTGGGCTGGCGGGGTAATTGGTTGTTGGTGATTAGGCAGTATTGGTTTGGGGAGGGAGGAAAGAAGGAGAGTATGAATAGAGTCTATGACGCAAGTCAGAAATTGAATTGCTGTTTATCGCACAGTATTGCCCGCGGTCTTCTATCAATACTCTTTTCTACAGTTAGAAAAAAAGACCCGCTGACATAATCTGACGTCTCGGCCACGGCTCTGGGCGATTCGCGCGACGACCAGCGGGTTCGATCATGTGATCGCATCCCAACTAGACTACATCATGACTACACACAACACGGAGTTGTCACTAGAAAGCCGAAGCAGAGACTGATGTCTTCTTTCTTCTTGGCTACCGAATAGGAAAATCTAAAACGACCTTGGGAAAGCCAAAAGAGTTATCACCAAGTCTTGTTTCGGCGGTTTGAATGGCATGAATGTGATTTCTAATGGCTCATTATTACTACGTACTAGTAGTTCTCTTGAACCGTTGAGCTTAGCCATTTCGGACTCGATATATAGAGACCGACTAGAACACTTGTAGAGTTCGTTATTCCGATACAGCGAACTTCAGGCTTTCGGAAACGATATTCCTCGAGCAATGAGGGGAGAGCAATGAAAGTAAGCAGTGAGAGTAGATGAATAATCAGACACTTGTGCTGCGGATTGGCTGCATGTCAATAGAACTACTCGGCCATGGTTTTTCCGGTTTATCAACGTGCCTCGGAATGTACTAGAACCCGGTTATCAAAGCCTGGTCTGCTGCCAAGATATATTCCAAGGGGCTTAAAGTTCAGCGACTTTATTGCCGATGGAGGGGTCAAATGCCAAGTTTTCTGCCATGGAGATGGTCAGCATAGGCTGGTTTTCCAAAATAGTACTTTGATGTATAAATCAGGAGATCCCTACTCCGCAAATAAGGAGACAAAGTCAGGGGTAGTCAGGGAGAAAAGAAGGTGTACATCTCGTACTTCCCAAGATGTCACGTGGCACCACCTCACCGCTCACTATTACAACAGGCTTAGTTGTCACCTTAGGCCTGGGGTGAAGTAGCGGTAACAACCTGAGGACGTAAATTATCTGGCAGTGTCAGAGTCTCACGGTCTAAGGGGTTATCCCCTATACAGCCGTATATGCGTGTGTGTCCACTTGAAATAACCTTGGAACGGGAGTACCCCAATGACTGAAGTCTGGGTCTGTCCTATACTTAGAACATCCACGCCACAGGGAATCCCGTAGCCTACATGTATGTACGGAGTACGATATACAATCATATGCCTGTCGCATGTCTGATATTGTAATAACTGTAATACAACTAAACACTCTAGAGTGCCTAACCCGGTCAAGGTACGTGTTCCCCGGAGGGGTCTGGAGGCTCACCCCTAAGAGTGTCCACGCAATGCTCTAGGTAGACAAGAAAGGGGTCCGAGACAGTGCAATAATGAGATGAAAATAGTTCTGCCTTATCCTGAACTTGTAGATATCAGAAATATAAAAGAAACGGCCAAAACCTGTAGATCGGAGGGGGTCAAAAGAGAATCGACGGCCTCAGGCAGCGCACAATCCCAGCCATCACAAACCCCTCTCCACTCTTCTCGCTCCCTCACTCTCTTCCTTCTTCCCTTCTCCCCTAATCCCAACTATATCCCCCCTCTAACCTCATTCCATCTTTCTTTTCTTTTTCTATCCCCCCCTCTCCCTTAGGTTCATTGTTTAATCTGTCACAATGGAGGGTATGTTATTCTGATGTGGCCACATCAGCAGCTTCCCAGGAAGCTGCCCCCTGTTGCCACAGCTCGAATCCCATTTGCGAATGACCACTAACCCGGATATCTCATTATAGAAGAAGTTGCTGCTCTCGTTATCGACAATGGGTATGTGCTATGCTTTTTCCCGGGAGCTTCTGGCTTGTGTTTCGGCCTGGTCACCAAATCAGCCCGGTCGCGGTCGTTGCCACCCCTAATTCGCCCACATGACGGCAGATGGAATCCATCCCAATCGCTTTCCATCTCCCTCCACAATTACGAGATGGCGCTTCCAAAACTACAAGAATTATGATACTGATGATTTGCGATGTAGTTCGGGTATGTGCAAGGCCGGTTTCGCCGGTGACGACGCACCACGAGCTGTCTTCCGTAAGTCCAACCCCACAGAATCTGACGCCCCTCCTTTGCGAAGTCCGCCATCCCACCAACCCTTGCGTCGGATGGCTTCCCCTCTTTTGCTTGGCTGGAAACCTTGAATGTGAGGATCAAATAACTGACCAAATTCAACAGCCTCCATTGTCGGTCGTCCCCGTCACCATGGGTAAATAATCCCCCCCTTTCTTTTTGGCTTTTGGACACATACGCCATGCAGCCAGTTTGATTTTCAATGAATAAGAATATACTAACATGGGCGCAGTATCATGATTGGTATGGGTCAGAAGGACTCCTACGTTGGTGATGAGGCACAGTCCAAGCGTGGTATCCTCACACTCCGTTACCCCATTGAGCACGGTGTTGTCACCAACTGGGACGATATGGAGAAGATCTGGCACCACACCTTCTACAACGAGCTCCGCGTTGCCCCCGAAGAGCACCCCATTCTCTTGACCGAAGCTCCTATCAACCCCAAGTCCAACCGTGAGAAGATGACCCAGATCGTGTTCGAGACCTTCAACGCACCCGCCTTCTACGTCTCCATCCAGGCCGTTCTGTCCCTGTACGCCTCCGGTCGTACCACTGGTATCGTTCTCGACTCCGGTGACGGTGTTACCCACGTCGTCCCCATCTACGAGGGTTTCTCTCTGCCCCACGCTATCTCGCGTGTCGACATGGCTGGCCGTGATTTGACCGACTACCTGATGAAGATCCTCGCTGAGCGTGGTTACACTTTCTCCACCACTGCCGAGCGCGAAATCGTCCGTGACATCAAGGAGAAGCTTTGCTACGTTGCTCTCGACTTCGAGCAGGAGATCCAGACCGCTTCCCAGAGCTCCAGCCTCGAGAAGTCCTACGAGCTTCCTGATGGACAGGTTATCACTATCGGTAACGAGCGCTTCCGCGCTCCCGAGGCTCTGTTCCAGCCAAACGTTCTTGGTCTTGAGTCTGGCGGTATCCACGTCACCACCTTCAACTCTATCATGAAGTGTGATGTTGATGTCCGTAAGGATCTGTACGGTAACATTGTCATGGTAAGAAAAGGTCTCCCCGGTTGAACTTGCAACATCCCACTAACACACTTTTAGTCTGGTGGTACCACCATGTACCCCGGTATCTCCGACCGTATGCAGAAGGAGATCACTGCTCTTGCTCCTTCTTCCATGAAGGTCAAGATCATTGCTCCCCCCGAGCGCAAGTACTCCGTCTGGATCGGTGGATCCATCCTGGCCTCCCTGTCGACCTTCCAGCAGATGTGGATCTCGAAGCAGGAGTACGACGAGAGCGGTCCTTCCATCGTCCACCGCAAGTGCTTCTAAGCTTCTTGTTGCACTTTTCTACTCGTATTCACTCGTACTTTCCTGGTGTATCAAAAAGCAGGATGGAGGCACTGGTGGATTGCAAGCGTTGTTGGACTCGCATTATCAAGCGGATAGCCTGAAAATGGAATCTCGATTTTAGTGGAATAGAGTCGATCGTTTTTTTTTGTTACTCTTTACCTTACTCTTTACCTCGATCTTCCTATCCATCCATCTCTGCTTTGAAACATTTTACCATTACCCTCCATTTCTTTTCTTCATTCGAATGCGCTGTCCCGTCCGCCTCTCTGATTGTTTGACTGGACGAGTTTCTGGCGCTGGGGCGACAACAGTGTACCTGTAGGGTGAGGATGCATATGGAGTTGGTTGGCTATGGGGAATAGGTTGGGTTTTCCTTTTCTCTTGACGTCTCCATCGTCCGTCTTGTTCTAGCCTGTCTTCAGCTAAATTGCCCGATTTTGTCCGTAGTTTTAACATAACTCTGACTTCGAATATTCCATCCACTGGTTTTTTGTATTCTATAAATGCTATCGAGAGATTTAGCGCTTGTTGAATCGTGGTGTCTATTATGCATTACTGACTTTCGAGCATCGTTGTTTTAGCCTTTTTACATCAGACCTTTATCGCCGATATATATATTTTCAGGCATTCAATCAGATATGCTGGGAATAGGAACAATATAGAAATCTTGGATATATAGATCAATGACTTTTGTTCCAATATATATACTCTCATGCACGTAGGAAAATCCATTAGTTCGGGACTCATCCAAAAGTCCTATATTATAAAAGGCAGAGAAGAAAGACGGGGAATACGAAGAACCAGAAAAATAAACAGTAACAAAAAAATCTATAAGATATGTAGATAACCCAGGCAAATCATTTTCTCCATCCATATATAAAAAGCATCACGCATCAACATCACCATCAATATCAAATTTTAACGTCAGGATCGTGAATATTACGCAGACCAAGACTCAAGTCCAGACAGCACACAGCCCTCTTCGCCCTTGGCACGAGCACGCAGCTCACCAACGCGGTACACAGACTCACCAGCAGCCTCGAAGGTCTGACGGATAGCAGCCTCGTGGGCGGGGTCGACGGCAATGATCATACCAACACCGCAGTTGAAGGCACGAGCCATCTCGGCAGAGGAGACGTTACCGGCACGCTGGAGCCAAGTGAAGACGGAAGGCTGGGCCCAGGTGCTGACGTCGACCTGCGCAGTGAGGGTGTCGGGGAGCATACGGGGAATGTTCTCGGTGAGACCACCGCCGGTAATGTGGGCCAGACCCTTAATGGCAGAGCCGTGGGTGTTGAGTGCGCCGAGGATGGATTTGACGTAGATGCGGGTAGGGGTGAGGAGGGCACGGCCGACGGAGACGCCGGCGTCGAGGCCGGGCATGGAGAAAGGTGCGGTGTCGGTGTAGCTCAGGCCGGCACGCTCGACGATCTTCCGGACGAGAGAGTAGCCGTTGGAGTGGGGGCCGGACGAGCCGAGGGCGAGAAGGACATCGCCAGAGCGCATGTTTTCTGTGTGCGGGAGGATGGCACGAGCGTTGTCGCCCGTGGTGTTGATAGCGCCGACGGCGGCTCCGACGGCGTCGTAGGAGTCGTCGACGAAGAGGCCGGGCATCTCAGCGGTCTCGCCGCCGATCAGGGCGCAGCCGGCTTGGACACAGCCCTCGGCAACACCGGTGACGAAGGCCGCAGCGGTGGGCACGTCAAGGTGACCGCAGGAGTAGCAGTCCAGGAAGAAGAGGGGCTCGGCACCTTGGACGACAAGGTCGTTGACGTTCATGGCGACGAGGTCGATGCCGACGGTGTCGTGGATACCAATTGCGTGGGCGATCTTGAGCTTGGTGCCGACTCCGTCAATGGCTCCGATTAGGGTGGGCGAGTGAGGGTGGTAGGCGGAGTTGGCAGCGGGTAGAGAGAAGAGGCCGCCGAAGCCGCCGATGACGGCGTCAGTGCCAGGGCGTTTGGTGCGGCGGACGGAGCTCTTGATCTGGTTGACGAGCTCGTTGCCGGCATCGATAGAGACACCGGCCTGGGCGTAGGTGAGCGAGGTGTTAGCGGTCTGGCGGAACGCGCGGTGGGCAATGTCCTTGCGGTAGAACATGTCCTCAAAGCTGATGGTCTTGATGCCTGCATAACTCTTAGCAACAGCCTCCTCAAGGGTCGCGGCGGTGGCCGTGGAGGCGATGACACGGCCCCCAGAGGTTTGCAACTCGTTGCCAGAAAGAGTTGTGCCGGCGTGGAAGATGAGGGTTCCAGCGGGTGCGGGGGCCAGAGTGATGGTCTTGCCCTTGGCATAAGCGTTGGGGTAGCCGCCGGCGACAGCAATAACGGTGGTGGAGAAGTTGGGCTCGATCTTGATCGAGACACCGTCCAGCCAGTGGTCGGCACAGGCCACCATGATCTGTGCAAGATCGGTGTCCTTGCTGAGTAGAGGCAGCAGAGTTTGGGTCTCTGGGTCTCCACCGCGGACGTTGTATTCAAGGACCTTGGGTCCGTTCTTGGTCATCATAAGACCGGTAAACAATATACCAACGAAGGGGAAACCTAGACAATGATTAGGAACATGCTTTGGGAAAGGCATTTTCGATCAAACGTACCATCCTTTCGCATTCCGTCAACGGAAGGCTGAATGATGGTCCGGTCAATCTCATCCACAACTTCTTTCGGCGCAATGCGCGTGGGCGCATAGCAGCCCATGCCACCAGTGTTGGGGCCATGGTCGCCATCGAAGATGCGCTTGTGGTCCTGCGCTGGAGGAAGCGAGCGAATAGTATAACCGTCACTGAAAGTGAGGATACTCAGCTCATCACCCTCCAAGTACTCCTCAATCACGACCTCATCGCCAGCCTTGCCGAACTGGTGGTCCAACATCATTTCCTTCAAGGCCTTGTGGGCTTCCTCTTTGGTAGTGGGGATGATCACACCCTTACCACCAGCCAGACCATCAGCCTTGATCACCACGTTGTGCGACACGGAGTCGAGGTAGCGACGTGCAGACTCGTAGTCAGAGAAGTTTCCGAACTCGGCGGTGGGGATCTGATGGCGCTGCATGAAGTCCTTGGAGAAGGTCTTGGAGCCCTCCATGCGGGCAGCAGCCTTGGAGGGACCGAAGCATCGAATACCGACTATTTTTGTGAGGCATTTTTAGAATTGTTCAAAGCGATTGGTATGCAGGAAAAAAACAACCGAAAAAAAAGAAAAAAAAAAAAGAAAGAAAAAGGTGACTCACCAGCCTGGAAATAACCCTGGATGCCATCAACGAGAGGTGCCTCGGGACCTGGTACCACGAGGTTCACCTGGTTCTTCTGTGCGAAAGCCACGAGGCCGGGGTAGTCGTCGCCCTTGACATTGGCATTGGTGATCTTGCTGTTGGTACCCAGGCCTGTGCCACCGTTTCCGGGAGCGACATAGACAATGTCGACCAAGGGGGACTCGCTCAGCTTCCAGGCGTAGGCATGCTCACGGCCACCATTGCCGACAATAAGGATGCGCAATTGTTCGGAGGCCATGGTTGGAGAAGCGTCTCGACTGTGGTGGTGTTAGCAATTAGTATAGGAACTCCGCGGGGTATTTAGTGCCCCTCAGTCAAGGGAAACCGAGTCATTGAGCAATGGAACAGGGCACACAGTTGGGAAAGACTTGATCATAAGAGAATCCACACTTGCTCACCTCACAGAGACCTGAGAAGCAACTTCCAAGGTTGTATGCGGGAATGGGAAGTTCGAAGATGTTAAACTTTCACAACTTTTTTTCTGCCCTCCGGCTGGGTGTTTCTCCGACCCCAGAATTCTACCCAGCGATCTCGGCCGGTGAGATAAAATATTCTATAGTTCTAATTAGAAGATGGATTAATGGATTTGACAGTTCAAATTTGACAGTTCAAGACTGATTTTATATGTCTTTCATTTAGTGTTAAGGGATAAGAGTGCAGGATTCTATACAATTGCGAATGTATAACTCTTGTATGTTGTACAATATAAGTCTAAGAAACATGGATTTTGTAGTCATTTAATCATATTATAGCCCGATTGAATATGAAGCATATAAAAAACAAAACAAAACCTACATCCAAACCTCCTACTGTCGTCTCATCGTTCGCACTATTCTATTTCTCCCCGATATAAAATATTGACACCTTAGGCACTTAGGCAGAAAGGCAGAAAGGCACCAAGGCAACGAGATAACAGCAAAGCGGTGACCCCCAATCTCCTGGCAGAAAAAAAACCGGAGAGGCAATTCTGAGGTTAGCCCGGTGGCTTATTGACGGAGTTTTTTTTTTTATTCTAGAATTCTTGAGTCGACAACATTTGGGGACTTCTACATTTCTATACCCTTTCCCAGATTAACTGTCGATATTTGACCTGAATGCTTCGGACTTCTTTGCGGTCTGTGTCAGGCCCTTTAAGTCGACATGTCTGTCTCTCTTGTCTGCCGCGCCCTGGCGCGCTCGGTTTGCGCCAGTTTCACCGCATATCTGCACTCCGTACCAATTCAGGTGAAATAGAGCCGAAGACCGATTCAATTGACGCGTCGACCGAACCTTCAGTGCCGCTAGCGCCCAATGTATGTCCTTCGATCCGAAGTACAACGTGAGATGAGTTTTGACAGAGTGTGCTATAGGGCCAGATCCAAGACACGAAAGATGCCGCCTCTTCCAAACCTCAAAAACCCGCGCCATTGCAACCTAAACCGAGAGAGCTCACTGCTCTAATATGGTATGGGATGTCTGCCACACAAAAGAGCAATTACAAACAGCGGCATTACCCGGCCTTCAGAGAGTTCCAGCAGTCACTTATAGCCGGGAGAGACCTTTCATTCTGGGCAGCATACAAGTTGGAACTGAGGCGGGCGAGAGCAGCACAGCGAGAGGCCGCCACGTCAGGTGCAGTATCGATAGAAGCAGCACTGGTGGAAGCAGACAAAGTCAAGGCCTTGCGGACAGCGGATATACATGCCAAACGACAAGAAAGAAGGGCCAAGGCCAAGGAGAGAAAACGCTTAGCCAATGCTAAGATTACGACAGACGGACCAGCAGATACGCCAGCGGTCAGTGAACCCAGCAAGAGCACGCTCGATTTGAAGTCCACTAGCAATGTAGTTGCCCAAATATTGGACGCCAGCTCTAAGAACGGTATTGCAAGTTCGAATGAGCCAACACCCACGCAGAAGGCGGACAAACCAGCACCCAGGCAGAAGGTGGATATTCCAGCACCCACCCCGTGGTCGGATAGGCCAGAATTCAGGGACAATGACGAAGTCCTTGATTTCATCAAAAACCACGTTATGTCTAAAGATTGCGGGTCTGTTGACTCAACGGAGCAGAGCCTAAAAGGTGAGTTTGGAACTGATATAGCTGTCGAATGTGAGCTAATCTTCCACCCAAGAGGTGCGTGTCTCCGTGCCTCCTGTCCCACGCGTCGCCTTTGGTCTCGACCGAGTGCTTTTCAAGTGAGTTGCTAAGTCTCCTACCAATGATCGATATACTAAAAGCAGACAGTCCTGGTGTCTACCAGCTACGTGACCCTCGGTCTTTAGTCTTCAATTTCGACCCCTACCTGGACCAGATCATGCCCGTGACGGAATTTGACTTCAGTGCCTTGAAGCCATATATCACCTCCTCACAAGATGAGACAGCTTGCGAAATCACCAAGAAAAATAAGAAGAAGTACTACGGCTCGTCATCGAGCATGACTTCAGTTCTCGCTCATTTCCATTATCTTCTGTCCGCGTGGCGGCCTGTCGATACTAGCAAAATTAGTCGGGGTTTCGATGACCCTCTGAGGACGTTCACCCGTCTCCTTCGAGCGCCGACTGCTATGTTCCTCCGTTATAAGGAAGAGGAGGATATTTACGCCATTGATGCGGACAAGGAATACGACCACGCTAATATTCTTATGAATCTGGGCAAGTCAATGGAGAAGCAACTCACGATGCCAAAGGATCAGTTTGAGCGCTACCGCCGCAGTGATGCGAACAAGATCACTGCCGAGGAAGAAGCAAACACTCCGGAGTCCTACCACTACAGCACCCTCGGCAAATTCCTCATGCGATCGCAGCTCGACGCCTACGATCCCAGACTTCCAGGCACTGGCATGTTCGACTTGAAAACCCGTGCGGTAGTTTCAATCCGCATGGAATCCACGGAGCACGAGCGCGGGATGGGCTACGAGATCCGACGCCGCTATGGCAAGTGGGAGTCTTACGAACGCGAATACTTCGATATGATCCGCGCCGCCTTCCTCAAGTATTCCCTGCAGGTGCGCGTTGGCCGCATGGACGGCATCTTTGTCGCGTATCACAACATCGAGCGCATCTTCGGCTTCCAATACATCCCTCTCGACGAGATGGATCAGGCTTTGCACGGCACGCCTAACACCTGCCTTGGCGACAAAGAATTCGAACTAAGTCTCGGCCTGTGGGAGAAGATCCTGGACAAGGCCACGAAGAAGTTCCCCAAGAAGTCCCTGCGTTTCCACTTCGAGGCCCGCGAGGGTAACCCCCCCTACATGTTGATCGTCGCGCAGCCCGTCACGGACGAGCAAATCGAGGCCATTCAGACAAAGAACAAAGCCCACATCGACGCCATCCAGGACCGCATTCTCAACCCAGACCAATACATCGACGGCCATATCCCAGAGACAGCCGTGGAGGCCGACGAAGACGAACCCCTCTATCCAGAAGAGGAGTCAGTCGAAAAGGACTTCCTGTTCCCAGGAGAGGAGTCACTCGAACCCGAACCTACCTATTCAGAGGTGGACTCGACGGAATCAAGTCTACAGGACGCTCCCCCAGTAGAATCCCTGGCCGACGAGCTCTTCCCGAAAGAGGCCGGCGAGGAAGAATCCGACGCCAAAGCCGAAGAAGCCGAAGCCGAGGCATTAGAATACAAGCCCCTGTTCGAGCTGCCCGCCGAACCCAAACGCCCGAAACCAACCAAGAGCGTACCCAGACGCACCCCCCCCCACATCGGCGACTTCGACGAGGACATTCTAGGCATGACGCTCATCGTGAACAACAAGGTGAATGGCGTTCCGGTGCAGCGGCCGACGTGGTTCACGGCGTCCGACAGGTGGACGATTGACTACGAGCTCAACGAGCTCAGTGTGGAAGAGAGCAACCATATTCTGGCTGCGATCAAGCATCGTCGCAATGTGGCGTTGAAGAAGAACGTGCAGGATCATGATGCTGGTTTCTTCGCGATTTTGAAAAAGATCACTGAGAAAGGACGTGTTTGGCGGAAGAAGATGGATCAGAAGGATCGTGAGCGTGGGCTTCTTGTTTATAAAGATTCTTGTGATATGTGAGGTTCGACTAGGTATCTGGGAGAGGATACTTGGAGGTGGTGAGATGGGAATCCGTTTTGTATAGTATCAGATTTAATCTTCTCCCATTTGTATTGTATTTCGATTGGGCTTAGATATACATCCGTGGCGTTGCTTTTTATATAGATTGAACGCGTTTTCGTGGGATGTTTATCAATTTTATGCATATATAGAAATGGTTGTGTTTTATAGCCTCCAATTCACTTAAACTACTCAGTCTTCGAGACTAGGAAATCAAACAGAAAGGAACAATAGTGTTTCATGCCTATCCAAACAGTATTCAATCCTCGCTCTAGAGAGGAACAACCGCATAGAAAACAACACAATAAAATATCAAACAGCCCAAGCCCCAGACCCAATAAACATTAGCCATGGATTCACGCATGAGCGTCACTAACCCACAAAATGAGGACGCTTTCCAATAAGAGCAATAAAACAAAGAACAAAATGTCAAGGACACGATAAGATGAATAGGAAGATGTTGGCACAGAATGAGAATGGAAATGAGGAAATGAATATGGAACGCCCGGAGAATGCGGTCTTGTAAAAAAAAATGCAACGCCAGGGTATCAGTGCCAACTGGCCGGTTTGGAGAAATGGGAATTCGGATGGGGTTGGGTTGATTTATGAGTTATGAGTTAATAAGATAAAAATGTTTCACAGGGAAGGGTATATCAGCGAAACCTGGGTGTGGTTCGTCGTATATATACCGAGCCAGGCTTCGTTTCGGTTCGTGTTGGGTGAGGTGTGGAGGATTCTGTACAGGTAGTTGTGTTGGTGAGGGTGAGGGTGTAAGGAAGGCTCTAGAGACCTCCCAAGTCAAGCTTCGGAGGTGTCCAGTCTAGCTGAGGCGGCTTGTCGTCGCTGACACAAACAGGTGAGGGGCGCACTGCATCCGCACGGCGACGTTCCCTCAACGCGGTGCCGCTGAGGAAGCCTCTTAGGGTAGACGAGGCGACGCCATATGCGCTTCGTGTACTGCCGGCGCTGAACGAGGCAGTACTGGAAGAACTGCGTCCACTGCGCACGCTCTCTGCTTTCTTAACTGCTGGGGGCACGGCTGGAACCGGGAGAGCTAGGAGAGAGGCCGAAGAACTATGACTGGATGGAGTGAAGTGTGCAGCAGCGGCGGTATGAGGGCGACGTGTATTGGATGAAATGCGTCTTGTTTGGAAGGAGGTGGACTCGATGTACGACGAGGACTGGGATGGGGTGTCGGATGCCTCTGAAAGTCGGATGACAGCAGGAGGCTCGTCTAGCAGCGACGGCGTTCGAATCTCATCTGCCGACACGGACACGTCGAATTTGAAATTGTCAAACATCGTGCTCAGGCTCGCCGCTGTTGCAGGTCGTCCAATGCTGGCGGAATCATCATCAATTTCCTCAATCCCATGGGCAATGTTGTAGTTACGGAGGAGATATCGATTGAGCCGAGAGACTTCGGTGTCCCATCTCTCGTTTAGAGACTGCAAGACTAGTTCAACGTTGTGGTTGGCGAATGGTGAGTTTTCCAATGCTGAGGCGACACTAGGCGGCGGCGCTTTGCTCAGTCTGTGTCCTTGCCCCCCTTGGCCAACGGTCATCGCTGCATACAGAGAACGACGGACCGAGTGGCCGGAACTTTGGTTGCCGTTGCTGGCCTCCCATCGGACATTATCAACCTCTCGGCGTACTTTGTCCAGGGACAGGACTCGGTCCCGGTCCATGCAGGAGAGAGTGAGAAGGGAGCGGTTGCACCGAAGGCCGTTAACCAAGACCGTAAAGGACTGCAGATTGATATCATTGTTCTCACAATGTACTTCACGTAGTGTATCATTCTCCTCTAAGACGGAGGCAAGGGTATTTGCACCTTGAAGACCGAGTTTCTGGTGTTCAATTCTCAGGACCTTTAGAGATGTGTTCTTCTTCAGGCCAGTCAGTGCAAGATTAAGACCAATGCCGAAGCGTGCAACATCAAGGTGCGCGTTATCACCGCTAATGTCCAAAGCCTCAAGAGTCTCATTCTCCTCCAGCATCACTTGCAACGATCGGCAAGTCTCAGGACTAGCATCGTATGGGAGGGAAGCCTTTGAAATATCCAAAAATTTGAGAGTGCTGTTCTTTCGAAGTGAATCCACCAGCTCACGGAAATGGTCTTCTTTCTTGAAATCAATCATACGCATTGACAGATGCGAGGGGGTCTGATTGTTCGCAATAGCATTGAACACGTGAGAACAGCCGTTGTCAATGCGGTTCTCATTGACATGCAGATGGAGACTGCGCGGGGAATCAGGTTCACTAGACATCGACTGCATAAACATAGCCACATCCTCTCCGGTCAGACCACACTGATCAAGACGAAGCACACGAAGGTTTCGAGAGCGATCGCTAGCCAGGTAAGTAGCAATGGCATCCACGGTCTCGCGGTTCAAAACCGTCCGACTGAGAGCCAGCTCTTCGAGTCGCCAGTTGAACAGCATTTCGGCCGTGATGAGAGGGTCGGTGCCAGAGGTCCGTGATATGCGAGATAAGTTGATTTTACGGATTTGTCCAAAATAGCCAATGTATTGCTGGAGGACATCGGGATTCAATCGGCCCTGCACGCCTGATATGTTGATCGCCTCAAGTGTCGATTCTTGTGCGACGATAGTCGACAGAAGAAGATCTAGGTCATGCACGGATAATCCACAGTCTCCAACTTCTAGAGCGCGCAGGTGACTACGCCTTTGCGAAGCCGCATCGACAAGATAGTCCAAATCGGACTCACCTAGCTTGATACCGTTAAGCACAACCCAGTCCACGCTAGTCAGTTCTCGGCGACAGACGGGGAAGATCGCTTCTGGAATCCCACAGCCTGGATCACGAGTACCCTTGTCCAGAGTTGGTGTCGGGATCCGTGTAAGGCAGTAAGAGAAGTCGAGTCGGCGAAGCCATTTGCTCTTCAGAGCTAAAGCTCGCACCTCTTGCGAGAGGACAGTTAGATTTGTCTGGCCTGGAATATGCACGGAGGCGCCTCCTCGGTCGAGATGGACGTCGGAGTCCACCCCATGAATATCACGAAGGCCCTGCAATGCATCCAGATTGACCCCGCGGAACGAGATTGACCGGAAGAATTCATTATAGCGAAGTGCGCGCATGACAGCAATGAGTTCTAAAGCGTTGTACCGCGGGGTTTTCGGGGAAGCAGGCTTCAGCAGACGGAAGCATGGAGCATCCTCGCATTCCTGGTCGATTGTATATCGTATATTTGATGTGTCGATGTCATAACTGGCAGAGTAGGCGACCAAGGTTCGGTCGAAGCATCCATAATCTTCATCTAAAGCAACAGGCGGGAAATTGTCGTCATTTTGCAGTTCTTTCGGAACCACGAATTCGTATGGCTGTCGTACCCACAATGGGCGAAGGTATTCAGTGTGTTGTCGGATCCAACATGCGATTTCAACGGAATGAACAGAGGCCAAAAAGACATTGAATGATTTCTTGAGAGGAATCCTAAAGATCAGATGCAGGCTGTCGTCACCGTACTCCATCGACAAACCAGTCAGGTTCATCAGACCAAATGAAGTACCGGCCTCCCAGTCTGACAGAGATACGACCGATGATCGATTGGTGGTCTTCTGCATGGGCAGCAGATGCAGCTTATGTGCGCCAATGGCGAGATAGCAGCCCGTGGGCGACAGCTTCGTCAGGTCATCCGAGGAAGAGCGGGTGATTGACTTGCTGGACGCGATTTGAATGACACGGAACATGCGGAACACCTCTGGGTCGTAATCTCGCTCGTGCTCAAGCATACGGGTTACATACTCAATCGATCCCTTGCTAAATGGCATTGGACAATTTGCTCTAGCCATCTGCGCGGCTTGACGGATGCCCACCATCCAAAGGTTTAATTCTTGCAAATCAGATGTCTGCATTTGCACCAATGTGGCTTTGTTTGTGCGCTCGTCGAGATAGGCCACTTCGACCGATGGTGACAATCGTGCATCTTCCAACATGTAGACTGCGATTATGCTGTTTAGTGGGATTCCGGCAGTTGAATCGCCAGAGGCCATGAATTGCATATCCTGCAGAGAACTGACTGAAGCCACCGATTGGCGATGGGAAGGCGCAGGTCGGGTATAAGAAGCGGGAATACAAGCAAAGACATCGGCGGCTTTGCCTTGATTCTTAAAGCGAATGAGGTGGGTATCCGTCAGGACCAGGTAATGACTCTTCTTCCTCCACATGCCTCCAGTCGTCTGAACTTCCCCGTGGTGGAGGATTGCAGATGACCAAATCCCATTTCGGGGAGTGGCCATGCTTTGCTCGTCCATCATCGAGCCGACGGACGGACTCATCGTTTCATCGTCTTCCCATGAGTGCAATGACCTCAGAGAACCAAAAACCGAGGTGCGCTTCTTCTGCATCGACTTCCTCCGCGGACGAGGGGTTTCCATGACCGGTGTGGATGGTATGCCGACGGGGGTGTCGGAGCCTGCCGTCCCAGGGCGGCGGTTATTCGATCCATCGGACGCTCTGTTCGGACTATGAGACCGGCCGAAGAAGCTAGAATTCCGCCGGCCTTTCTTATCCCGGGTCAAGGTATCATCCGAGGGTGTTCGGGTGTGGATCGCAGGTCGGAGGGGGGTGGATAGTGTGAGGGATGGACTGAACACGCTCAGGCTCTTTCTTCGTTGTCGTTTGCCGATCATTTCAGCCATGTCTGGTGCGGTAGGGCGGACTAGTGGTACAGAAGCAGGGGGAGTTGCGTAAGGTGGAAGAGTAGCGCGAGTGCTAGGTACTGAGAAAGGAAGCTTATCTCGACGACCTCAACGTCGTTCGTACTAGGGATCAATTAGCCGTGTGAAGGGTCATGACGGGGGAATAACGCGAGGAGGGAGGGAGCGGAGCAAATGAGGGGGAAGGTAGCACATACTATAGATCGTCACAGCGCCATGAGAAGCAATTAGCATACAATTGCTAAGATGGGAAACTGTTCCCTATATCTAAGCGCAGACAACAGGAACCTGTCAACAATGTTGAATGCGGTGATGGTTGCGGAAGGGGGGAATCCACAATATGCACAGGATCTAATGTGATTTGATATCTTCACATAAGAAGGAGGCCAAATTGAATGCGTCAAATGAAAACAGCAGAATCCACTAGAGGGATAGTCGGAAAAGATGGAAAAAGGAGGAAATAGAGGGAATCGAGGATGGACGGATGCAGTCAGGTCCAACTGTATCAACTGGAGATGTTTCAGTTGTGGCTTTTTTTTCTTCTCTAGGGTTTTTAATTTATTTTTTAATTTATCTTCTTCTTTTACTTTCAGAGATCGCTTATTTATATCTTGAAATCTGAGGTGGCGCCGAAAAGGACCGTCAGAAGGCCGTGCGAAGGGGGGAAACTTGGATGCCTGAGGTTTGAGGTGTCGATGTCTGGACCAGCCTGTTGAGCCGGCAGAAAATAGAACCTGGATTACTTGATAGAGACCATACAAGCAAAGTACCTAACCCTAGGACCTTTGAAATAGACAGATAGATTCAATGGCAGGGAATGGGTGAATATAGAGACTTTTAGAGTGGGAATAGCTTCAATTCCAATGATATCTACATACAGTGTCGAAAGCGGTCTGGATCAGGCATAATCCAGGCATCAACCCAAACAACATGGCATCCGACCTGATAGTGAACCTTACAACCGCTGATCTGAATGAACTTCGTCACCGATGACGCCAAGGTGTCTGGGGATATCCCCCCTGATTGCCATTGTGATCTCCCTTTCACGTGGGCCCGAGAGATTAATACCCCTTCGGAAGCAGTATCGTGGAGTGCCATAGTCGCCGATCATTCCTTTAGGGGTGGATCCGGAGATTGAACCTATGATGCTATGTTGTCAATTGAGTGTAGATCGTATAGGGGGATGAACGATGAACGATGACCGGAGGACGGGGTATAGTTCATACTCCGTACAAACGTAGCTTTCAGGGTTGTTCTGGAGTACAAAGACCAATTAATATGTCGAGGAGTCCAATTAGTCTAATGCAATCAATCCCTGTAGTTCCGACTATATCGGCACTATCAAGCCTAGTGCAACGCCTCTTACGTGCTCTTCGTACTAGAGATGTACTAGAGCATCGGAGGCCAAGCCTACGGACATCATCTTTCTAAAGCTAGTATAGTTCGGCCCTACAACAGCCCAGTCATACAGCGTATAACTATTAGACGGTTGATAGTTCACATTAGTACATTGGCTGCCTTGCTAGGTGGAATCATTCAATACCCCGTAATAATTGAGCTTGGTATTCGACATATGACAGCCCGAACGACCCGGGATGCTCATGATGTAGTTTGTACTGGTCATCCTCACCATGTTCATCCGCGTAGAACCGGGTGGCTTCGATTATTCCCGGATTTCGGGCCCAGAGCCTTCTGGGGCTGGGTGATTCCCTATTTGTCCGGCTTGTGCCCTAACAAGGGTCTACACCTGCTACGAGTCTGGGAAGGCTAGAGTCATCCTAATCTGTTCGGAACCCCAACTAAGCTGGGTGTTCTACGGTAGAAGAGCAATGCGCAGTAGAAACAGACCGAGCGAAGATGACGAGCTAGAAGCGATAAATCAAGATACATAGCCTGACTCTGAAGAGGTCATGCAATACGCTCTGACTGGTGATAGCAAGGTCGACTTACTTTCAACATTGCGCATGTGGCTTTTACAGGCTTTCAAGAGCAATCTAGATTTTCTATAGAATGCACAAGTTCCCTACGCTCATTTGTCTGGTTGTCCAAGACCGCGCCACGTGATCATGTTCAATCCTCCGTCGGCCTACGGTGAGTAACTCTGACGAGGGCTACAAAGTATTCGCCTCAATCCTGTGAGACCGTGCAGGTTTGGAAAACGACCGAGAAATGAGATTCAGCTCATCCGAGTTCCGCCCAAGCGGCGGATGTATTGTGTCCGGTGGAAAGTTCACGTTCCAAGTTCCATCCAAACCAAGTCTACATCGTTGCAAAACCTAGTGGATGTCTCCAAATCTTTACAACATATAAGATTACCGACGATGCCCTTCCGCACGTTCAGCCTCCAGTCGCTCCGTGCGTTTAATCCGTCTCAGCAGCTCGATATACTCGGTCACGCGTTTCTCCTGCCAGATACAACCACCCAGCGTCATAGCCACGACCTGCAAAAAGACCTTGAACTGCGGCGTCAGACCACGGTAGACACGGGACCCCGGGGATATCCAGCTTGAGAAGCCCTCTATGGGGCGGTGGAAGAGTCGTGAGCGGAGGTAGTCGCGGGAGAATATGTTAGGGCGTGGACGGGGTTGTGTCGGGGCATATGCGACGGGTGGACTTGGCGCGGAGAAGACGAAGGGGTGGGGCAGGATAAGGATCATATGAGCCAAGATGGACACGGAGCCAAACTTGAGGGTATTAGTGATTGCTCTGGGAGTTCACGGAGAGACGAATTGGAGGTCCGGTTGCTTACGCGGAGCGCGCCGGTCAGGAAGCCTTGGGCGGCTACCCAGGTGATTTCCTCTGGGGGTTCGACATCGCCCCTGTGGTTAGATGGTGGTGGCATTCTGGTATGTCCGTTGTAAGTGTACGGCCCAGAGGGAATGAATTTAGATGGGAGTCGGTCTTATCGAGGCCGAGTGCGACGATAAACAAAGTAAAGCAAAGTAGACAATGCCGAAGAAGATATGTGTTTCAAATCCCGAAGACAATATAAAGAATCATCGATCTCCAGAAAGTCAGAATAAAAACCTGGACCAGCCAGTGTCATAAACCTGCCAACCTCAGGTCGTCCATTCCCTCCATACTGAAGCGCGGATCAACGATTCTCCCGCGAACGAGTCAGACAAAAAAGAAATCCGATTATCTCCCACCTGGGCATCTACCAAACACCGACTCTCTCCAATTTGCCAATTCGCCCTACACCAAATCCCTAAACCCACAATGTCGCTCCCGGCGCGCACAGCGACCATCTCCCGGTCCACCAACGAGACCAAAATCCAAATCTCGCTCTCGCTAGACGGCGGCGTCCTCCCACCCTACGAACCATCAGCCCACTTCCCCGCCCCAACAGACCCCAAAGAAGCCGAGGCCTCCAAGAAAGGCATCGTGCCACCCAAGGACGCCGGCCATGCGACGCAATTCACCCCGACGCAGCAGATCACCATCAGCACGGGCATCGGGTTCCTGGACCACATGCTGCACGCGCTGGCGAAGCACGGCGGGATGAGTCTTGCAGTTCGGGCGAAGGGTGATTTATACAGTGAGTTCATACACAGGATACTATACTACAATATGGAATGATAATGACAATGGCAATGCTAACAAATCCCCAGTCGACGACCACCACACAACAGAAGACACCTTCCTCGCACTAGGCGAAGCCTTCACAGCAGCACTCGGCGCACGACAATCCCTCGAGCGATTCGGCCGCGGCGACGCGCCTCTCGACGAGGCGCTCTCGTGGGCGGTCATTGACCTCTCCAGTCGGCCGTGGGCGGTTATCAACCTTGGCTTCCGGCGCGAGAAGATCGGCGACTTGAGCACGGAGATGATCACGCATGGTCTGCAGAGCTTTGCGCAGGCAGCGGGCGTGACGCTGCATGTTGGTTGCACTTATGGTGATAATGACCACCACCGCGCGGAGAGTGCGTTCAAGGCGCTTGCTGTTGCTATTCGCACGGCCTGTAAGCGTAGGGTTGCGGGTGATGTTGGTGCGGGTGATGTTGTTAGTACCAAGGGTGTTTTGTAGTTTGGATATTAAAATTGTGTAATGAATGAGATGAATGAGATAGATGTACTCCGTACAAGGTGGTCTACTGTTACTGTTACTTAGTACCATTATAGAGGTGCCATGAAAAGAACTTCATTTATATTCTATGCCATTCCTATTCCCATAATCCATAATCATCATAAGCACAGTCAAGACTCAACACAGTCAACAGCGAAGAACCAGCTCCGAGCCACAAATCAAACCAACCACAATCTAAACACCAATAGCCTTAACAGCCCTCTCCCAATACTCCTTCCTCTCATCCGTAACCGAAGTCCCCACACAATCAGAGATAAACCGCTGCCACCCAGTCTCAGAACCATCAGCCAGCGCAGCCCGCACCTCCTTCGAGCACTGCGTGGTCAAGAACCAAGCACCAGAGCCGAAGTCCGTCGCACCGTCGTTGCGCAAGAGATCAAGGAGCTCAGCGGGACCGTTAACGGTAGCGAGTTTATCTTTGAGTGCAGGCAGGGACGCGGCGTATTTCTTGTTGAAGGATGGGGATTGCATGTTCCGTGCTGAAGGATATGGTTAGTATTTATGTTAGATGTAAGGTTAGACAGATAAAACTCACTACCCTGCCCAGCAACACCCGGGAAATGATTCTTATTATATTTGAAATCGCCGCTTTCGAACGCCATCAGGCTGATTACGGCGGCTTGCTCGGCTTTCGAGGTTACTTTGTACGTGTCGAAGGACTGGGAGGTGAACTTTGCGGCTTGTTTTGCCGTGGCGCATTCGCCTGCTGCTGGGGCGTCGGTGCAGGATTTCGAGGAGGGGGCGATGGTGACGAGTTGGGATTCGGTTAGGGCTGCGTTGTTGCGGTTGCGGGTGAAGAGGGTGGTTGGGAGGGGTGTTGCGGTTGTTTGGATGGTGAGGGTTAGGGTTAGAGTGAGGAGGAGGGTTTGGAGGTGCATTTTTGAGGTTATAGTAGTAAAGAAGAACGGCGATATCGTGTAGGGATTGAATGTCAAAGTCAAGAGTCAGATGGATGGCTGTTATAGGATGATATAGAAATGATGTTGGTGCTGTGTAGAGAGCAGCACAGCAGATTATCTTTATAAGTCCTCGAACATGTCAGGCATGAAAGAAGGGCTTGCATTGTCCGAGGCAGCTGGGACATACAAAGGGGAGGCGGAGGGAGTACATTGTAGGGTAGACGCGGAGAATGCGAGATGTGGACTGAAGTATGTTAGTTAGATCAAGGAAAACACCAAAAATGGGATGCTCAAACAATGGACGTGTTACATAGTACACTATTTTTAAAAAAATGTCCAAGCCCAGACGTGATAGGTTCACCTGAAAAGCTTAGAGGTGGCGATTCAAGGCACGGTGTTGTCATTGGAGAACTTAGGGTTTCAGGATTGCGGGTTGAGGTTTCAAGACATGATTGCACGGACTGTTCTAGTGCTATACTTAAATTTTATACTTGGAATAGTCCAAAGTATTTCGAGTCATCATTTTTCCGGAGATATCCGAATCCGGCATAGAGGCATGTCCATATATTCCACTGTCTCCCGAGAAGCGAATCCAAGTTGTTTACAAATCAATAGACAGAAAAAAAAAAGGGGGACAGTGAAATGGAACCGAGTGATAGACAAGGTCTCGCACATGTCCAAAAGCAAACCCAAGTGCTCCAGGTGAGCATTCAATCCAGGATCCCGTCACAGGATTGAGACACCATGCATAACGCGCTCCTAAACACAGAAAGAAAGAGCAAAAGTTGTACAATAAATGCTGATGCAGAGATCATATCCGGCCGTGTCGTTACAGACAAATACACAGGCTGTAAAATGGCAAGTTGCGAGTTGAGAAGTAATCTCTAGATCTCTAGTCATCGCGACGTTCGAGTTCGTACGAGGTCTCTGTGACCCCGCCGGACTCTTCGTCTTCTTTGAAGCTGACCCGTCGCAGGAGGGTCGGGACTGAAAGTCGCGAGCGGCGTGTTGGCGACGTCGAGAGTCGCGGTGGGATGCCTGATACTTTGGAGTAGCGGTAGCGGTACTTGGCTCCTAGGAGCATGACACGTCCGTAGCTCCACCAGAGGCAGAACCCGACGATTCCAGCAAGGAGGAAGCCGCAGATAGTGAGGAAGACCCAGTGTTCACCCATCTGTGAGAGATTAGCATTGTTCGATAATAATATCAGACTGTCACTTACCCAGAAGATCAGATGCGCATCCTTGCCGTGCCAGCTGTTACCCCGGTGGTGGGTGAAGAAGCTCCAAGAGAATTTGTTGTACTCATCCTGCATGAGGATGCGCACGCGCCCAGCTTCGCTCGGCCCATCGCGCATGTACTCTTTCCAGATGACCGACAAGAACAACGGTCCGGTTGAGTACATGACCGTGATGTAGGGGAGGAGCCAGTGACGATCGTACTTTTGCAGCTCTTCGATGGTACGGAGGAAGAATGGGTGCTGGGGTACTGAGCCCATGGCATCATTGGAGATACCGGTTGGGGCCGTACGGCGTACCCAGGCGGGATAAGCCAGGAGAGGATCCAAGCGACGGTTGCAGCCCTGTTTGATGTTAGAATGGAATACCATGGTCTTCCGGGTAGGTATACTTACGTCGTCCAGGTCAATGTATGTTCCACCGTAGTGCGCGAGAATGAAGTATCGGATAGTATCGGCGCGTTGAATAGGGTAACTGTAGCCATCGAATGTGTCCAAGAACCAGGGGTATTCGGCGGCAATGAACTCTCGCGACTTTTCGTTTGTCCAGAGCTAATGACAGAGGGTCAGCTTGGATCCGACGGATCAAAGGGCATGCACGTACAATATATTCATAGTCCGGGTGCAAGTCAATGCAACTCTGCTGAGCTCCTACCCAGACCTCTGGGATGGTCTCATTCTTGTATGTTTGGTGAATGATCTTTGGAATGATCTGGGGGCGATGCTCGATCAGGCTGGAATTTGGCGAGGGCAGCTCCGCGCGGTGGATGGCGTCGGCCGCGGCATCCTCGACTAGTAGTGCCAGTAGGGTCGAGACACTCCGGACGAGCAAGGAGAGGATGATGAGGTTGACGAGAAGGAAGATAACGAGACCGCGCCGCATGGTGAAGGTTTAAGGATCGAATAGGAGAAGCGCGATAGCCAATTGAAGCCCCAAAAGGGTAGTCGTTAGGGTCGTATTAAGGTTGTTTCACATACCCCTCAGGCCGTAGTTAGGTCAAAGTACGGGAAATGCAAGTCATAAGATGGTAATAGACAAAGGAGGGAGAAAAGAGTATTTAAAGAAAGGGGAGGCTAGTTCGATAATAAGGAGTGACGGGGAGTGGGGAGACTAAAAGCTAAAGAGGGAAAGGAGAGACCCTCAGCGTTTAAAAATCGAAATTGGAGGCGAAAAAGGAAAAAAAGGATTGGGAGGTGAAGGGAAAGTAATACGGGGAAGGGACAAAAGGTGTTGAGAACATTACGAGGCTGAGCACGAGAGGGGTGGCTGTGGTTCCAAGATTGAGCGGCTGGGAGGGGATGTGATTGGCGCGTTGGCCATGGGGCAATTAAGGGGAATTGATTAACCTTTTAATTTATTTATGGATATTTCAACTTACAGTACTGTGTATTCCTGAGTTGGATTGATTATTTCCGTCGGATGTGAATTGGCTCAATTATATGTGTAGGATATATTGGATATACAGTATACACAACTACGTCGTTTATATATAACTGCAATTGCTTCCCTTGGCGCCATGAATGTCGCTAAAATAATTAACTTTGAGGACTCGTCACCGTACCGTAAATAAATTACCGTGGGGAAAATCCCCACGCCAACGTGAGCACCGTGTACTGCACTAGTCCTATTTAGGCATGTCCTCGACCGTACCTTTCTCGACCTCGGGAGGCTAGTGGTAGTTGGCATGTGCTCTAGTCCCGACTTCTCTGCCTAGGCATTATGCAGTTAGCAGTGATGGAGCAGAGTTTGACTACAACGGCACTATTCCAGATTGATCTTGGTATAATAATGTATGTACATAGCAATACAAATGTATCATAATCTCCAATTGTATGTATTTCGCTACCCGCCACATATGCACCCATGTGGCGGGGAATACTCCGTACACACATAGGCCCTTGGATCCCGATTTATTTATGACGCTATCTCTCACGCGGCCGATTCAATCAATCCAATCCATGAAACAAAGAACCAGCCTCGGACGCCTTGGCCACGACTTGGCCACCGCGTGGCCACACTCGAGGTAGGAATTGGCACCGATTTGCCAAGTGAACCGCCACCTGCCACACGCCGGGGCCGTGCACAATGCGATTAGAAGTGTGTCCTTGCCCCTCCATTATGGGCCTCATTTGGAGTGGTATTCCCTCTGTATGTTATATATTCCAATGTAGCACTCGATAGATAGGGTATGCAATGGATACAGTATGCAGATGCCTGGTGAAACATCAGAACACCGGGCCAATCAAACCGCGGCTAAATTTATCAGTTGCACAAATAACAACGAATTATCACGCGTTTCCATGGGACCTTGACAGACCCCCCACCCGGACCCCGCTAAGCTCTGGTACGCCAACACGACCGGAGGGCGAATCCACCGGATAACCTACGGTTCACCACGTTGTATCCGTATCGCTAACTTTTAACTCGGGTGCCTATCTCAGTATGTGTCCTCCGATGTGCCCTCCGATAAGATCGGCCGATTCTCCGTTTTTTGGGTTCTAAGATTAGCCGATGTGAGACTCGGTGGGCTGGAGCCTGGGACTTGAAAAGTAAAGTACTATGTACAAGCATTTCGCAGATCGCCGGCCGTGCTTATCATAAGCGGGATGTGGGCGCGAAAAAACGGCGAATTACTCTTTGGGATAAATTGATATTAATTGTGTTCGTAGTCTACATATGATTATTTAGGTATCTGGTACGGAGTAGACATGCATTGACCAGGGTAATATGTGTAGCATGTACGGCGTACACGTACTTAGACACACTTACTATGATAGGCATGGAGTACGTGGCTCTTGCTTAGCCGGCCCCATAGCACCGGTTTGTACTGGACTTATGGGGCCCTGGATGGACCGCCTTCCGAGATCGGTATACCGCTCGTACTTTTCAACTTTCCACTGGTGGAGAGCATAATTGCCGGCAGAATATCAAGTTGGCACTTTTGCGGTGTGACTTGACTATACTTGAAATGCGCGGGGCTGTACGATCTATGATGATGCCTGAATTGGATCTGACGTAGTGTTCTTCACTCTTTCTAATAATAATACAGTAACCAGATAGAAGACTAGGCTGCATTATATTAACTACGCTGCCTATATTGTTTTAAATAGGCCTGTCGATACTATGCACATGCAGGATCGAAGCTGTATAGACTTGGCATAGTGCCATCATGCTTGGCTGTTTTCTATAAGGAGCTTTGATAGTAGTCGGCAATGCATGCAATCACGTGGTGTGGTTTACTTCATTTAACTTTAAGGGTCTATCGAGGGTCAAAGCGAAGTCGAATGTCTCTTGTACTAGCACTGTTTGATATGTCGTCATCTTAAGGTCTGCATGCAGCTCTAAGCGGTAAGCAAAGAAAAAATCTGGGTATCTGTGGCTATTCCTATCTAAAAAAATGCACCTGCAAACACAAAAGGAATCGGGTCCTACTCCTTGCTTTTTTGATAGATCACATTGAGCATGGGCCAAGGGCAACGTCTCACATGATCAGATAAGGGGTATCATCAGATAAAGAGCAGCTGCTCCATCGTGCCACTGTTGGACACAGCCTAAAGGGGCTGCCAATATCCACGTTCAGCAAGTGTCTCATGCAAAACTCGAACAATATAATATACTGTCATCTGATGTAACCAAGAAACTCGCTGTATGCAGCTTCCCCTCTGGTACGGCCCACGGTCTTGATATCAAAAGCCTAAACCCGTGAACGACATCAAGGCTAGAATCGGACCCATTGCACCCTTGGCTCTGCTTATACCAGCGAGACATGTCTTTCGTGGAAGAGATCGAGCTCAATTCCCATTCAACGCCACAAGAAACCTCAAATTCCTTCCAGAAAGCGACACTAGATCAATAAAAAGAATACGCTTCATCGAACCTGGGGCGCCGCCGCAGCCACAAACTCGCGGTTCACGTTAGCCGCACCCGTCGCACGCTCGTTGGGAGGCACGGGTTCAAACAGACGCCGCCACCAGCGAGGCGGGTCAAACGGGCGGTGGCCACCATGCAGAGGCGGGTAGACATCGTTAAAGAAGTACCAGATATGACCGACGACAACGCCGAGGATCTCATCCTTCGGCACGATCTTATGCACAATCACACTGAATCCCATCAGCACCCAGGGCAGGTAGGGAGCGGTGAATACCAGCAGGCCTAACAAACTGAGACGGGTATCTGGGTTGCGCCGGGCCCAGATATAAACCAGGCTGGATGAAAGCGCGCTGCCGAGGAAGGGTATTGAGAGGAAAGGCGAGATGATGAGGAGCGACGTCATGGCGTAGAAGATCAGCCATGCAAAGTGCGCCGGGGAGCGGCCGGAGGTTTCTTCCAGAAGGCGGGAGTAGCGTTGCAAGAAGAAGACGTGGAATAGTAAGTCGAGGTTGAGGGGTCCGAAATAGAGGAATGTCGTGACGAGTCGCCAGTACTGCGATTTAACGTAGACAGAGCGGAAGCTGTAGAATAGCTGGAATGGGGTCACGATGTTGCACTGCACCAGGACTGAGGTTGCGACGGTGGCTACCGTCCACCACCGGGTGACGGGTGGCATCTCATAGAACCATTGCTCGAGGGGAAACTGGCCGGGTTGCCCATTGTTCTCCCAGAGGGCGGCCATGACGTGTGGTGTTGTGACTTCTTATGCGGACGGGAATCGAAAGGAGCGGGAGTGTGATCACCACGAGCACTGACAGCTCTCCAAGTGCCTCCGGGGTATTCAACGTATGACGGAGATAAGACCAGGTAGGCCAGTTTATCGTCACGTGCCAGACACGAGACGCGTGTTTACGTGAGAATCACGGGGGCTGGGGCGCTAAGGCCCGAATGGTTGCTATAGCTTTCCCAGCATTTCCGAACAAAGACTGTTCAATTGTCGGCAGATACGATTAAATCCAATCCCTTCGAAAATCCTCGTGCGCAAGTGCAAACCTTTGTCTTCTCGATACTCGGACAAAGTTCCTGCAAGGGGCAATCTCGACATAAACGCGGCAGAACGCTGTTTGCCAGGCGATCAACCTCTAATTGATCGCTTTCAACACCCCACTACGAAAAATACCTACAGCGCATTTCTCATATAACACAATGCCGCCCAAGCAAGCCCGCAAAACAGTACCGGGCAGCGCACAGAAAAACAAAGCGCGCAAGACAGCCGCCGTGCCCGCCGCCGAGCCCACCACCGGCGACGATGCAACACCAACCAAAGCACGCAAGACAAAAGGAGGGAAGTCAAAAGTCAGCAAGAGCCCCGCCAACGTCCAACGTACGTTCAACTCTCCCACCAAAACAAGCGCCTTACACGCCTCCACATGCGCAACCCAATCCCAATCTCCCCATTCTAACAATTCCCAGCCGGAGACCCAACCCCCACAGGCCGCCGCCGCCGCTACAAGCCCGGCACCGTCGCATTGAAAGAAATCCGCCGCTACCAACGCTCCTACGATCTGCTCATCGCCAAACTGCCCTTTGCGCGCTTAGTGCGCGAAGTCGCACTCGACCTGCTCCCCGCCGAGGTCGGCGCCGAGTTGCGCTGGCAGTCGCATGCCATCCAAGCTCTCCAGGAGGCCGCGGAGGCGTTCCTGGTCCATCTATTCGAGGATACGAATCTGTGCGCGCTACACGCGAAGCGCGTGACTATTATGCAGAAGGATATCCAGCTTGCGCGGAGAATTCGCGGCGTGTGGGCTGGGCTGGGTTGAGGTCCGTTGACTGTTTCGATTATGTGGAGGAAGGGGGAGGTTTCGAGTTTAATATTAATTTCGTCGTGTGAGGGTGGCCTTTCTTTCCTTGTTGATGAGGGAAGAGGTCTGGTGGACATTGCTGGCGTATTGTGGGCATGGAGTTGACTTCGGCGGTGCTGTTGTCCTTGTTTCTTTTTTTTTGTTTCGTCTAGCTTCGACTGGTGAAGCTTGTGTTTTGTGACAGCGGGTTGGTTTATACCATATTGTTTGTACTTACGCATGATGTCGGGTGTTCATGTTCTTTTTTATAGGGAGCGAAAGTGATCTTCCTAGGGTGTGATATACACCGAGCTGAGTCCTATCAATGGTTTCAAGTCAACGTTTCCTACTCATCAATGGGTAAACTTCCGTGCTTAAGTATTAGAAAGGTATTTCTGGATTCGCCAATAATATCACCGTGTCAATAACCGCAGAATATCAAACGCCTTCCCTGGTAGCCATCAAATGGTATCGTAAACGAGCGCCTCCTAAGAAAAATTCTGAAACAAACGCAAAGAAAAACATAGAAAAAAACAAAAACGTATATCATGTTTATAGCAATAGACAAGCCAATCAGGCCGGACGTCTCAGACGGGGCGGAAGACCCGATACCAAGCGTTGGCCTTCTTCGCGGACGCTCTGCGCTTCCTCACCCTTGCCCTGTCGCTCCAGGGTCTCAGCCAGCATGTCGTCGGTGACGCTCGCCCACATCCGGTCATTAGCTCGTTTGGCCATTGCACGGCCGGCTCGAGCGCTTTTCTCAGCTTGCTCGCCGACCACGCCGCGGAAATACTTCCAGCTCATGAATGTTAGGGTCATGCAGGTGATTTGGCTGTTGCTGATTGCAGTAGCGGACTGCAGAGCTTGCTGGAGGTACTGTTTGGTTTGGATGGTAGACTCGGAGTGAACGGTTGCGCAGACTAGGAAGTAGGCAGCTTGTATATACTTGTTTGGACTGCCTTGGCAGAAGGGTTCAAGCGTTGCTAGAAGGGCGCTGAGCGAGGGGTGCGATGAGTGACTTGGATCACGGAGGATAAGAGCGGTGTTAAGACCGGCGAGGATGCGCGTATCACGACAGGGGTCATTGCGTCCTGTCTTGCTGGTAGCGGGGTCTAGTGACAGAATTGGTGATTGGAATATGTTCAGCGCGGTATTGAGATCGCCAGTTGCCTGTGCGATAGTCCCGGCGGCATATTCCATCAGACATTCAATGGTACCTAGGAGGTTAGAACCAAGCTCTTGGAAGACTTGTCGAAGGTCGTTGAGAGTCTGGCTGGCAAGCTCCCAATCGGTTCGAGCGCAAGCCAGGAAGACTCGTTGGAGGAGAAGGTTGCAGTAAAGGGACTGACGCCACTGAACCCGACGGTTGGCATTGACCATGGATTCTGAAATTTCTTGGGGGGCCTTGAAATTGCCTTGAACCATTCGAAGCCCTTCCTCGAGATATTTCTCGGCTTTCCGACCATCATATGAGTTCTTGGCACTGAGTGTGATTGAGCTTAAGAAATAACAAAGCGCATAAAGATCGTGCTGAGGGAGCCAGTTGAAGCTTAATAGCAATGTCCCATTCTGAACCTGCAAGATGTCACCTGTGTCGATGGATGATGGCCCGGCCGATTTACCGTTGAGAGGGACCGAAAATGACCCATCGGGACGCCAGTTGCTGTCGCTTAGTGTCTCATCCATCAAAGCCTGCATGACCTTCAACTTCTGTCCAGACTGGTTGACGTCGTACTCTAGAAGACTACAACAGATATCGACCATTTGAATTAAGGTTGTAAGTTGAGGTATATGGCGAAGTTCATCGTTCAGCTGATGGCTTCGCGCGACAGCCACGGCGCGCTGCGCCTGCTCGATAGAATCCGAATTTGTCGCTTGCTGCAAGTGTGCAAGTGATTCAATGACAGCCGCCATTGCCGAAACAGCCTTGTCCCCGTTACGATTAGCCATAGCCGTGATTTTGTGAAGATTCTGCAACGCTTGCACGGAGTCTTGGTGTGACGGAGATGACAGCGAAAGTGATACTCGAAGAAAGCGGAATGCGTACTCCCATGCGGCATGGCGGTACCTACAGATATTAGCATCCCGTGGTCAAAGGTGGAATGGCACATACGCTTCCACATCCTGGATCATCCCATCAACCGCTTTCAAGGAAGCTTTGGGGTTACTTTTATGGAGCATTCGAGCTAACAGGTGCTGCATGCTGTATTTCAAGTCAAGCATACGGTTCTATAAGAGTCAGAAATCAAAACGAATTCGCTATTAAGTTTCGGTTGACTGACTCGTTCACAAAGATCGATCTGCTCGAGTTAGTGCTATTCTGGAACAGAGGGAAACAAATACACACCCCTTTACTCAATGCTGTTTCCGCTTCAATGTCATTGTCTGTTTCCTCAAACAATGTACGCGCGTAGCGAAGTCTAACAAGAGCTTCTTTGCGAGGTTGCAGTCGCCAGTTCTATCATTTGTTTAGCTTGGGCGCGCTGTTCCTAGAATAGAGCAATTCACCAACCTTCAAGACAGCCTCCAAACAGCCCAATCCGGTAGCAACCAGCTTGTAATATTCCTCAACGTCAGTCTCTCGAGCGGTCAATGAGGTCGTTGTTCCACGAGCATGAGCAGCATTTAAATATTCATCAGCCAGGGATAACAGCAGAACCTGATAGTCGACTGGAGGCTTTGTAGACTTGGTAGGCGTCGGCTTCCAATGTTTTTCAACATTTGGCTGAGTCGGCTGTCTCTTCTTCTCAATATGGTGTGGTTGAACTTGCTTCTTCGGAGTCTGGTTTTGAATATTTGCTTGAACAGGAGACGGAGCTCGGGCCATGACTTGCGGGGTAGCCTGTGTCGCCGGAAAAGGAGCAGGCTGGGGTCGTTTCGGCGTCGAAATAGGTGTAGAAGGTTTTTTCTGATGTTTTACTTTGGGAGAGATCTTGGATGGCGTAGGTTCAGCTTTGACGATAGGGCGTGGTTGCGGTATATGGTTATTGGCTTGTCCTTGGTTGGTTTGGGTGTTTGGTTTAGGAGTAATAGGAGACGGGGCAGGAGCAATGTGAATAGGCCTGACTGGCGGCGGAGCTGGCAGAGCAGCCGGTGATATTTTTGGAGGACTAGAACTTGGGACGAAAGCTGGTTCACCATACTGAGAGAGTTGGGTGTATCGGGATCGCGGAGCAGTAGGCAGAGGTTGTTGTACAAACAGTTGAGACGGATTTACAAACTGATGTTGCAGCTCTTCTAGTTGAAGTTGAGGCGGGGGAGGACGCGGCTGGGGTGGAGGGGGAGATGGTAGTTGAGAGAGAAGCTGTGGTCCTGGCTGTGGCCGTGGTTGGAGAGGTTGTGGTGGTAATTGGAGCGGCTGCTGCGGTGAAGTCTGCGGAGGACGCGTCTGCTGCTGCTGCGGTTGTGGGGTATATGTCGATGGGTATGGTGTCATAGTCGAAGGATACATCAATGGCTTGCCATAGCCATTATCGTATGGCGGCGGAGCACCAAGGCTATTGTACAGTCCCTGCGGGGGAATTTGCCCATGCTGATACTGTGGCGGCGGTAGATAATGCGGGTATTGGCCGGGACCAGGTGGTGGGTAGCTCATTGCCCCGAGAAACGAACAATACTCGTATAAATCGAGTATGAAGTCGAACGCGCGGGATGGTGAGCGCGGGCGTGGAGCCTGGTGTCGGTCCGGATAAACCACGGGCGGTCAGCTGATAAGGTTTGTTGCGGTTACCTTGACTTCATTGACCTTGGGAAGTATAGGACTTCTTTATATCTGAAAATTTATAGGTTGTCTTTGGCTTGGGCTTTAAGCTGTTTTCAACCGAGGAGACATTTGCATAAGCCAAAGGATATGTATCCAAAGGACTCCAACAAAGGACCTTGCAAAAGAAGCCAAAAGAAGGTAAGTGTTGGCACTAGCCAAAGCCTTGACACCTATTTTGAATACAAGTGTCATTTATTATGGTATCACGATACTAGTTCTTAATCAACCCGATTATTCATGCTGGTCTGTGTAATGAGCCCCGACTAAAGGCCATGTCAGTGTGTCCACTTCAAGAATGAGCTAGCTGATTGGAATATTGGCTTACGACTGGCTGATGCACTCAAACACTTTCGATTTCGATCGTGTGGTGAAGAGCTGCTTGCTTTTTAGTTTCGTTTGTGTGTTTCTCGCTCTTCTTCTTGTTACTAGCCAGCCTTGTCATAGGTTATATATAGAAAGTTGTTTTCACAGACTAAGTCGTTTTTTCCGCCCTCTACCCAGAAAAAGAGATATAGAAAAAGACCACCAAAAAGATTACCATAAGGACGTGGGAGTCACTTCTTCTCTGAATGGTTGAATGGTTGAATTATATGAATATGTCTAAATACATGATGCTAACAAAAGATTAATCTAACGCCGAAACGATGCTCACTATACAACATATAGACAAAAGTCGGAACGAGAGAAAAAATGAACCTTGGTCCATCAACTCCTTATCTTGCAGCTCCCAAGGCTTCTCTAGGCCTCTGTTGCAGCTGAACAAATCCGTTAAACCATGTTGATGTATGTGTACAGTTGGTTGATGGGTTGGTTACCTATTCCAGAGTCGATTATTTCCCGTTCTATACTCGGCGCGAATGAGAGCGCTGGATGCTCGCGCACTGTCCAGGGACACAACTCGTTGCAGTTTTCGACACTGACTGAAGGTTCGGCTGGATGAATTCTTTGTGCTCCCCATGCCGGATCAGGAGCTGGACCCGTCCCCCCGAGGCTTCTTTGGGTCCAGAATGAATAGGTCGCTCTGCCAGACTTCTCCGAATGGAATGGTGCTTTTCGTGGACATGTCAATCTCGTATCACATGCGCTGCACACCGATATACGCTTGCAGGACGGGCAGGAAGAGTCGAAGAGGCGACATATCGTGGTTTGGTGAACGCTCGAGAGCCACAGGTCGACCGATCGATGTGCACATCCGAAGCGTGGTGTCATGTAATCTTCCTTGCCCACTTGGCCCGACTCGGTGGTGAGTTGGTATTCTGTGCGAAGAACTAGCTGGTTGTCGGCATTGATTTCTGGAAACAACGATGTCTTCAGCTCGGTTGCGCCATACTGCTCGGTGCATGTATGCCAGCAGTAGCGGCCGTCAACGGCGTCCCCAAATTGTGATTTCAAGGCTTGCAATGTCACCTGTCGCACTCGAACGTGATCCGCGAGATCGAGTTTGTCGCGGAAAGTTAGTTTCTTGCATGGGCATAGATCGACAACCCCTGCTAACTCTCCGATATTGCATGTTCGACTTTCTGGCTTCCGTCTCAACTCTCTGGATGAAAATGCGGCTCGAGGGTGGAGTTTCAAACACTTGGAGCATAGTTTCCAGCGGGGGTTTTCCAACAAGTTGAGGAATGCCCACCGGGGCGTGTCAAAGTTATGTCCATTGCGGTAATGGTGGAAAAGCGGCGCAAAGTCGCGATTGAAACGGAGGCATTTTGAGAGTAGGATCTCTCCGGAGATTGCGAACATGCGCTTGTTGGTCAGTGCAAGCGCAGCCTCCGGCAACACTGTCAGATGGGATACGATCTCCAGCAACAACTCGGTGGGTAATTCCATGAGGTAGCAACGGCCATGGCCACCCTCCTGTTGCTTCTTTGACCAGGGTCTCATTTTGATGATGGTCTTGAACCTCTTTGTAGCGCGGTACAGACGATCGGACATATCGGACGGGGAGTCTCTTATTAAAGCCATGGATGCTTAGATTAAAGGTCGCTCAAATATGTTCAGTGACCAAGCCTCATGAGAGATTGTGAATCAGCAAGATGGGTAGTGGCGTTTCGACTCTTATCATGCTGTAGTAGACATCAAGCGCATCGTGTGACAACCAGTGCTGCATCACCTTCAAAAGAAAAGAGAGCAGGTTCAGGTCCTTTGACCTTGAAGTAGTCTGTTGGAAGATAAAGATTCCCGGAAACGGACCATGGGACTAGGTCACAAAAGATGGGTGTAAATGCTATCAGCATTACATATAAAGAGGCAGAGGAACTGATTATTGGTGGCTTAGCCGTTCTTTGTCTGATGATCCATATGCAGAGCACCGGATACTTCAACATTTCCACCCTACATTTACCATGGTCGATTTAAGAAGGACATTGCTATTGTCGGAAGACATGGGGATTTCTCCCTGTGCTTGACGCCGGAAGTGCATTTAGGGCTTCCGCATGCGGCAAGGCGATTGCCGCATTGAGCATCATATCATCATCACTTCGTATTCGGCGGAATGCCCCCAACTCCTCCCAACTGCGCCAGATAAGGAGGGTTTCCTGCATCAAAGTTAATCTCAGCCGTGTCTGCGCTATGACATTGTCAACTGACTACGTGCATGACGAAAAACGCCCGCATGTTATGTTATCAGGTCCCGTGCAGCCCTCAGAATCATGACTAAGCCATCCTTGCGACACAGATCACCTGACATATCGTGCATAACTATATGTATCACATACAAAGGCATAAAATCAGCTTAGTCACACTGAACCATGGGCAAGGGGCGGAAAATCCGAACATAATTTTTTGCCGAGGTCAGATCCATATCAACTTTGGGCTCTAGATCCTTCGATCAGCATTGTGCTTTTAAGCCTGCTTTTTTCTTTTCTAAGAGTCATTGGATATCAATTTGTCCGTTTATTTGATTTGAGCATTCTTTAGTGTTTAGATATTCCTCATGCACGACCTCATCTCGACCCTTCTGAATTCAATCCCCCTATCAGTCCTCTTATCCGGACTAATCGCCATGGGCTTGATTTCATGGCTTCGTCCCAAGGGCCGCATAGCTTTCCATCACGCCACGGACAATAAGTTGACATTGACCAAAGTCTGCGGTGCTGGAGGTGCCAAAGAAAAAACTACCTTCGTGGATGTCTGTCGGTCTGCAACACCAGAAACATGCAACCTAAACCCTTTCTTGTTCAATGGGCACCTACAGACAGCCTGGACAACTATGAAATACGACGATGTCCCCATTTACTACAAACGTAAAATTTTTGAGTCAGATAGCCCCGCATTCTCGGGCCATTATGCCATGGATTTCGTGGTCGCACCGTACGACATGCCTCAAGACCCGGAGCTTACGGATCAAGCGAGAAAGTATACGCAAAAGTGTGGTCTGCCATCACGTACATCCTTTTTCTCTAAGGATGAATTTGCTGCGCTGCCCTCAGATGACACCAAGCCCATGCTTGTGCTTCTGCACGGGCTGAGTGGTGGCTCCCATGAAGTATACCTGCGGGAAGTCCTGGCACCGCTCGTGAAAGATGGCGCATGGGAAGCATGTGTTGTCAATTCGAGAGGATGTGCGGAGACAAACATCAGTACCGGTGTTCTCTACAATGCTCGAGCTACTTGGGATGTTCGCCAGGCTGTGAAGTGGATCAGGGCGCAGTTCCCTAATCGCCCTCTTTTTGGAATTGGCTTCTCACTCGGTGCCAACATCCTCACTAATGTATGACCCCTGCAAACCTGACTGTCTATACCCACTGACAAAATGTGTAGTATCTGGGAGAGGAAGGTGAAAACTGTCAACTGAAGGCGGCCGTGATTTGTGCGAGCCCGTGGAACTTGGATATTGGTTCTATGATTTTGCAAAGCACCTGGATTGGCAAGGAGGTATACAGCAGAACCATGGGGTCAAGTATGAAGAAGCTCTTCGAGGCGTGAGTAACTCTCTGTTCGGCTGATGAGAAAAGGTAACTAACCAAGTGAAACAGACATGTTGATCAAGTCTCGACAAACCCTCGTATCGATGTTGAAGCGATAAGAAAGATTACCTACCTCCATGAGTTCGACCGGTAAGAAGAATTAATTCTGGCCAAAAGAGTGCGATTCTAACATGCAACAGAGCTCTGCAATGTCCGACCTGGGGCTACCCCACCGAGGGAGCGTATTACCGTGATGCCACTTCCACCGATTCCATGCTTGCTATCAGGATTCCTTTCCTTAGCATTCAAGCCGAGGATGATCCTGTAAGTTATCAATGTCCTTTTTGTCACCATTGAAAGATTGCTGACTTTATAGATTGCTTGCCGAGAGGCTTTGCCCTACCAGGAAATGACTCAAACGCCATATGGAGTCATGTTGACTACATCGTGGGGTGGCCATCTCGGCTGGTTCGAGCTTGGAGGGTCCAGGTGGTTTGTCAAGCCGGTATGTAACTCGCAATGGACATTAGAATTGAAAGTTAACTTCATACTAACCGTTCCTTAAGGTGGCGAACTTCTTCAACAAAATGGCAAGGGAAATTGACACTAGTATCCCTGGTGTTGTTGAACACCCTGAAAAACTCCCTGGAAACATTGCCTACCACGATGACGCCAACAAAAAGCCTGACCTAGCACCTAAGCCTGAATACGTCTCGATGCGACGCAAACTCGCACTACCTTTGGGGCTGTAATTGCCTCTCTGTAATTGCCTCTCAAACATTCTGCCCTCCCAACCAACTGCTACAATCACCAGGTTCAAAAGCGACAGGTCATAATGGGTTACAAGGGGAACCACAGCATGGACGGTGTTTATGCAAAATGATGTTTCTGTTCCGATAGACATAGATTGATAAACCGGTGAAAACGCCGAACCCCGACATCTAAATACATAATCAAAGTATAGACACAAATTTTCAGACTTTTTTTAAGCAAATGCAACGGTCTTCTTCTTTGATCGCCCGGGCTTCGAGATACTATCCTTGATACTCGTTGGCTCCCCGGACTTGTCACCCCTGCCCTTCTTCTTTTGACGAATGGAATCCTTGACATCGTCGAACTTGTTCTTCCTGTCCTTCATGCGGGCCTCGGCCTCGGCCCTCTTTGCCTCGTGGATTTCTTCTAATTGACGAGCCTTCATCATCTTGGACTCGATCTGGCCTTCCTTCTCGGCGTTCACGATGGCGAGAATTGTCATCATGCCCTCCTGTAGGTGATAGTATTAGTATAAGACTTCCGTAGGTGCAATCAAGAGAACATAGCATGGGAAGCAAAACGTACCGCATCATCGACGAAAGTCTTGCCCTTCTTCTTGCCCTTGGGCTTGATCACTCCAACGGGTGTGATTTGGTTCAACTCGGGCAGATCCAGCTCCTTCTCGGTGTATACTCTCTTCTTCTTTCTCTTCAGGTTTTCGTTGGCAGTCCGGGACTTGGTCTTCTGTTCCTTGGCGGGGGGACGCTTGGGACCATCTTTCGATTTGCTGACGCGCGAGGCAGCCGCCAGACTGGCAGACTTGCCTCCCTTTGCACCTCCTTTGGCGCCTCCTTTTGCGCCTCCCTTTGCGCCTCCCTTGGCACCTCCGACGTTAGGAGCCATTTCGTAGTGCTTGAAGAATTGACTGAGTTGAGACGAGGCGGACAGAGATTGAGGAATGCAAAGATTGATAGAGCGGCGAGAAAGAGTTGCGACTACTTCAACAACCCAAGAAAAATCGAATAAACTCTGCAACCGAATCAGAGATATCGAAAAATATTCGACAGAAAAAAAACAAGAGCAGAGAACGTCGCGCAGACGGTCCGATAATCCCCAAATTCGCAAAGATTTTTTTTGAAAAGGCAGGCGGTGAGCCTAGCCCATTCCACCACCAACCTCAGATCGAAACCTCCACCCTCATAGCTCCGGAACCCACGTTCAATTCCCTCCCGTCTTTCTGCACCAGTGATTGAACCACGCTGGATTGAGTGGGCACTCGACTCTCCTCAACATGACTATCAACCCTACCTATCTGGCGCAGCGCTCGCGCTCCTGTACGTCCCTCCCACGCCCGATGCGTTCCGCCGTCCACCCGGCGGGATCGTCAGCGGAGTCTATCCCACCTGCGAAACGGTGCTAATATAGCTGCTCATTTTCTAGCTGTCAACTGGGGCGATGCGAAATTCCGAGTCCTGAAGTCGTACCGGGAATGGCTCCGCGCGGTCAGTTTACCCCGAGATCCTAGACGATCCACCTTGTCCCTTGATATGCTCTTTACTCCGTTCCTGGCAGATATCGCAGGAGCGGATTGATTAGTGGCTCGTTTTCAGTCCTGGCTTCAAAGGCTACAATTTGACCCGCAACGGACTCAGCTAACCTGGTATCACCGTACAGTCCCCCGAGATCCAGACCATGTACTCCCTCGGCATGCCTGTATCCGCCATCCGCACGAAGATCCGCCAGGAGTTCGAGAGACATCGCTACGTCAAGCAATTGCCAGTCGTGGATGTGCTGTTGTACCAGAGCCACGCCGAGTACCAGGTTAGTCCAGGTCCAACCTCTGTCCCGGTGTATATAATATGCCTTTGCAACATGCGATTCTTTCAAGAAGACAATTATGAGAACTAATGCTTCTCGTCTTTATTTGATTATCCATTGTTGTAGTCACCCTGCAATTCAAGATCAAATGCTGACATCATATCAACCTAGGAAACCCTTAACTACTGGAAGCAGCTTTCTCATGTCATGAAGTACTTCCGCCCAGAGGAAGATCCTGGCGCACGGCTACCCCCCAACTTTGTCTCTGGTTTCCTCGAGGGTCGCAATTAAAGCTTCCCTTCTGTTTTTTTCTCTCCCATTTCCTATCCCCTTCATCTCGTTTCCGGTCCGCGATGTGGCAGTTCAAGGAACTGCGCCATCGATAGACATGATGTGTATATATTGTCTGAATAAGCCATTCCATTATCTTATCTCGTTCCTGTCAAGCCTGGCTTGAGACTTGCTGCTGGCTGCACACATCTTGGTAATAAGTTCGTAGAATGCATCACGAATAACTTCGTTATGTTCATCAAGTATTTCTTAAACTATACACCAAAAAACCAAAAGCACTTGTCATGCCCGAGCTAGAAAATATACTTTTCCCTCTACCCAGAACGCCAATTAAATAATACATATGCAAACAAACCACCTCATGCCTCCATACGGTTCCCACTCTCCGCATTAAATTGATCCCGCGAAGCAGTGAACTTCTCCGTCACAACATCGCACAAGTCCATCAGATCATTGAAGCCCTTTTCCAGAGCCTCGAGAGCAGTAGTCGTATCTGTGTCCAGTCAGTAAAATCCACATCCCACATCCAGTATCCGGCAATAGAACAAGAAAGTAGCAGTAGGAGAACATACCATTAGTCTGGATACGGACATTCATCTTCGGATCCGAGGGGTGGGGAATAGTATAACCGCAGAACTCAACGGCAGGACTATTAACAAGTCAGCGACGTTCTTCCGAAACCTTCAACCTCAATTCCATGAACCGAAAACATCGATACACCGAATCTAGTCTCGCAGCGCAATACACTCACTTCTTCATAATCGCATACCGCAGCGCATTACCCATAGTGTGACCTTCGCCTTCAAACTGGAATGAAGCGGCGGTTTCGGTGGCGCCGGCGAGCTGTAAGGAAATATGGTATTAGCTTGATGCTCTCTTTAGGCCTATGATCGCGAGGTCTATTTGGGTACCCGCGCAGATCGGATACGTACCACGACAATCTGTCGCTCCTCGAGGATGGGGTCGTTGGACTGGAGGAGCTCGACGGGCTGCTCTGCGTCGACCATGGACTGGTCCAGGTCTTGGGAGTGGACGGATTCAGGCATTGTGGTTTTGTGAGGGTGGCTGTTTGGGATTTGGGGTGGGTGGTTGGGATTTGCAAGACGGTCGGTTGATGTCTTTGCTGGCGGTTGGCTTGGAAGCTTGGACTTTGGCCTAACGAATTTGCGCGATTTGGATCTCCAAGTCGAAGATTATCGCGAAGAAAAAAAGGTGGGTTATCGATAGTCGGGTCTCACCGCCTACTGTTTTTGTCTATAAATTGCATTTGTCGAAGATTAAGGGTGTGATTATTCTAATAGGATTGTTAGAATGTTAGATTGTTATAGATTTATGTGATAATGTTTGTATTTTTGAAAAGTCTTCACCTAGGTTCTTATAATAATACGAAGTGGTGGATCACGCAGTGTTTATCAACCATTTAGTCCCCCACTATGCGCAGAATAATGTTGGGAGTAGATCCTTTCCGTAGACGATAAGATACTCCTGTGGAAGTATAATGATTCCCTCTTTGAACATACCTGCAGTATGACGGGTTAAGTATACGAGGTTTAACTATATTACATGGATATCTCCCGATAGTTAAATGAATAATATCCTATGAAACGTAGAATCTCAATAGTTACATGTATATTATAGTATGAAACAAGGTAATGTCGGTTTCAGCCATTTCATCTCACATCGACACCCTAAGAACTGCACAGATGATATGCAACTCAAGGCACGCACCCCTGGTCTGTGCATCTACAAGGGCCGTGACAGGAGGCCAATCGGTCTAATTTCAGAGGCAGGCCAGGGTCTATTATTACTCTATACGGAATAGCGATGCTCGAAATAGGTAACCCGTGAGAATAACTGAATTATTCTCAGTCTCAGTTTCAGTTTCAGTGTTTTCGTACTCGCATGACTTTGGACGCCACACACTAGTGGCCCCTTTGATATAAGCGCCCGCTGCGCCTTGTTTGACGTATAACGCCATGCGAGTGGATGGAGGTGATGTGACATGTTTTTTTTCTCTGCCAAGCGTCCACAGGATGAGGTTGGGTGGGGGGATGTGATTCGATAAATTTGGTATCAGGAGGTGCTAGTCTGGTTTGCTTGTTATACTACTGTTAGAGAAGGGATCCACCGTGTAGCGAATTATTGAAGTGTAAAAGCGAGATAAATATAGTTGTTAAGGGTTGGTACGGAGTAGTTGGGGAGGACTATTGTTAATAGTGGGATTTAGTACATATAGGGACCTCCGTGCAAAACACAAGGTACAACATACACTCTTATACTAATTACAGTCCTCTCCGTACTCTACAAATATATCCCAATCCTCAAACAATAAAATCGGTGGATCCTAAACAGAAACACATCGTGTCTCAGTTGGGTCCACCGGGCAGCTCGGGTATCTGGTACTTAGCTGGGGTGACCGCTGATGCCTTTTTCCCCTCTTTGTCATTCGGAGGATCAACGTACTGTGTACTTTATCGCCGGATTAATTTCTTTTAACCTTCCCCTGGAGAGCTTCGGCGATCTCATCTTCCTTTTTATTTTCCTAAGCCTGGAGGTGTCGACCCCCTCTCGGACTTTCTTTATCGTCCATTTCTCTCGCTTGTAACTCTGGACTCTGGACTCTGGTCTGCCGCTTGACGCTTAACCGCCCTTCTTCCCTCTTCTCGTGGGATATCTCTACACTTGGATATACTGAGGCGATCCCACGTTTCGATCCGCTTTTCGGACTTTGCCCGCATCACTCCAGATGCCCTTGCATCTTCTAAAGGAGTATCAAGTCAATATACAGTGAACAGTGAATACACTGAAGGAACACACTGAACACACTGAACTACTATATACTGGAATCTTCTGTGTGATACCTTAAAACCGATCTCATCGTCTCGACCATGTCTACCGCAGTTGCTTCCGCGGCGGCCCCCTTGTCATCGCCACACCCGACTCGCAACCCAAGCCCAAGAAACCTCCCATCTTTGGCTCCTCCGAATAATACCCCGTCCAAGTTCTCTCCGCCCCGGATGTCCAAAAGCCCTAAAGTGGGATCCGCGCTACACGGTTCCCCGACCGAGAAGAGAGGTCCAACTTCCCCGTAAGTTGAGAGATTCATGGAACCGGAGCTTCACATATTAACATAATTCAGACCCCAAGGTGGCAACGGAGGCCCGCACATTACGGTAAAGAAGGAACCGGGATCCTCCCCACGGATACAGAGTCGGCCCCGGCCTCGGAAATTAGACCTCTCGACTAGTCTTCCATCCTCCAGTGGTTTGTCGGTTCGTGCTCCGGGGGGACCTTTGACCGCCTCAATGCACCATGTAGGCCTGGCGTGCCTGTCGCCTGGCTTCCAGACCCACGATCCGATCATGCGAGAGCAGCTGCAGCGCAGCCTCTCCGTGCGGGATCAGCAGCGATCGATCATTGAACAGCGCATGCACCGATCCGCCAAGGATGATGGTCCGGACGGTATGAAGCCTTCTGAGTCGAACTTGATGGGGATGCCCAAGACCGGAAAGCGCAGACCTCCGAACGGCCTGTCCATCGTCCCTCCATCCGCTTCCCAGTTCGCAAACGAGCGAGTCATCCAATCGGCTCCGCTACACCAGACTTTCACTGGCAGATACCAACCGCAGCCATTGACCCGCCATGTCGTCAACCAGAGCCCGACCCTGGGCTCGACCTCCCACATGCACCAGCTGCCGGCAACCCAAACAAACAATCGTCTTCCTCCCCTCTCCGACGTCTTTGGTTCCGATGCATTGGGTCGGGACCGGGATTCTGGCCGGGCGAATATCCACTTGAATGCATCGAGCAGCAACTCCTCCCAATCTAACAACTTGGCGCCGATGCCCTCCCCTGGTCTGCCGGGTAGCGTGGCGCACACCCCCAGCCGACCCCGCGAATATCACTCGGCCGAAGAGGCCGTGCAAGAGATGTCCGGCGGACGAGAGGAGCTGCTGCCTCGCATTGTTCACTATGGAGGCCACCAACCTCCAACCCCGCCATCCCCACAAGTCCACCACGCAGGCCCCAAGACCGCGCCTCTTGCCCCAGAACCGCAAGCACCCCACGGTCCGCCTCCAGCCTCTTTTGGTATGTTTGCCCCGTCCGATGTTACGGCACGTCGACGCCCTCGGAGCGAGTATGAACAGGACAACGGAAGTCCGCCACTGGGTCATGGTCCCGAATCTCAATACCGGCCCAATCCAGCTGCCATGCCCGGTCCACATGCTTCGTTCCCTGGACCTTTCGGTGCAGGAAGAGATTCGCCAGAGACGCAGCGGAGAAAGAAGGATGAATTCCTGGGTCTCTGTGCACGGGCTTGGGATTTGTTCCACTCGTGATACGACATGCTCTGTTGGTCTCATGCCTCTTGTAGAGGCTTAGGCCGGCTCTGCTTCCCAAGTTCAAGTAATGATGGAATTTGCTTGGACCTACTTGCTGGCAAATGCCTAACCCTCAGATCATCCCGATGCTATCATCTTATATTCTCATAGGAGTTTGCTGCCTTGGAATGCAAAGGCCTTTGATACTAAGTCCCAGGCGACATTGGTCCATGGCAAGTCCAACCAATGCAATGCCTGGGCAGTGAATGTCCATCTTCCGACTCATCCTGGACGATCGAGTCTGGAAACCTTCCATCATACCCAATGATGCTTGCATCAATTTCATGTTATCTATGCCACGACAGTATTGACAGGGCAGATTGGCACCCTGTAAAAATTTTGTGTTTGGATTCTTTTCTGCATCAAGTTTGCTTTGGGCGTTGCGGGTTCATTGCTTCGTATTATACCTTTTGGACTTGTTTTTGGGAGATAAAGCATTATGGTAATGAGTTCTCTGCCTCTTATTGGCCTATTTGGAATGCCTTCTTTTCTTCTTTTCAGCCTTTGCTATTGCCATCAGGGCCCTCAGCTCCGAGACTGGTCATTTTAATGCATCACTCGAGAACATATACCCGTGGACATGTAAACAGATATTCAATACTCATATGCTATATGTGCTTTTATTCCCAGATAGATCAACGCCGTATACCACAAAAAGTTACTCCAACCTCCGCCTCTTCCCTCCATTAGGCATGCCTCCATCCTCACCACCCTCCGCCCCCCTCCTCTCCCAAGGCATCTCCTTCCGCTCCTTAGAAGTCATCTTCTTACGCCTCCTCTCCAGCGCCTTCGCCCGCTCCCGCGATCCCATCTCCGCATACTTCCTCTCAAGAACCTGCTTCTGCAACTCCGAGTTCTTAAGATAGTACGGACTAGCCTTCTTACCCTCCCGAATCAACTGCTTCTCGCGCTTCTTATGCTCAGCCTGCACATCCGCCTCGCGCTTCTTATTCTGCGCCGACCGCAGCTTATCCTGCGCCCGCCGAATCTCCCCCTTCAGCTTCTCCTTCTGCTGCAGGTTCTTCGTCTTCCGCATCTGCTCCTTCAACTCGTTCAGCTCAGACGCCCGGTACTCGTCCAGGAATGCATACGCCGTTCCGCCGTGCGGGTGCTTCCCCACGCCGCTGTGGCCCATGACGGCTGCGTCGAAGCGCGGGTCGCGCGACCGCGGCGCGGGCGGGAGTTCTACTGCTGTGCGCTTGCGCGTCACGGCGTATTTGGACGATTGCTCCATCGGCGCGTGCTTCGAGGAGCGGCTTTTCTTTTCTTTAGATTTGGACTTCGAGGCTGCCGCGAGCTTTTCTTCGCGTGCTTCGCGGAGTTTCGTGCGGATTTCGTCGACGGTTGAGGAGGCGGCGGTGGTGCCGTCTTTTGGTGTGCGCTTGTTCTTCTCGCGCATTAGGGCTTGGGCTTTGGCGAGCGCGCCGAAGGAGATGTCTGCTAGTGAGGCTTTGAAGTCGTCGTCGTTGTCGGCTTCGGATTCTGGTTTTTCTTCTATGTCTGGTTCAGAGTCGGAGTCGGAATTAGATCCTGTGTCTGTGCCTTCGGCGGAGGAGTCGTCTGCGTGCTGCTTTGTTTGTTAATTTGGTTTTAAGTAGATGTATGGTTGGCTTACTGATTCGTTGGAGTTGGATTCGGCATCAGAGCCAGCTTGCGAATCCTCGTCGGAACCTGATGCTTCAGAGAAGACATCCTCGTCTTCTGGTCGAGCTCGCACTCGGCGATTGAGCAGATCGGTAATAGCCATTTTGGTGTTGCTGTAGTTGGAAAACCCCGCGGAGGAAGAACCGTCAAAAAGAAAAATATTGCCGCTTGGGGCGGTCAGAGCGATAAGAACTGATTAGATATTTTTCGCGATGCCCTGATGGGAAGAACGTTCTTAACCACCTGGGCAATTTGCGTTTGTTTTATAAATGTTCCTGCATCTTCTGCGTGGCCGAGCCTCCCCTCACTCCCCACTTACTTTCTCTTCGCGTCACTCTCAGCATCTTCTCAGAGCAGCCAATCAGGTATCGCCTCCACTATTCGCTACGTGGATAGCATATGTCGATTGTTGATTATTCTGACTTACTTTTAAATAGCTTCTTGCAGTGCCAAATTCTAGCGCTTTGAAATCCCGGAGATTCTCTACTCTCCTTTCGTCACGTCGCACCTCCCTCAAGCTGTCCCGCTCAAACAAAAGACGTCCTACGTCCGAACACCAGTCGAATTCAGTTCCCCAGCATGCCGATTCAGATTATGAGGTGAACATGAACCCTGGATCAGCAAAGAATGGACGGGGGGGAAGTCGGCAGGCCCCCTCACACAACTCTTGGGACCGCAATGCCCCTCGGGATGTACATCGTAATGCGGGATATGACTATCTTGTGCAAGGCAATCCTATACCTTCGCAGTATACTCCTACGCAGAGCATGAACTCGAACTTTGGATATCAGCATCCACAGGCTAATCAAACGTCACCGGCCTATCAATCTCAGGGCTATGCTCCTACCATGCCACAATACGAACCACAAATACCATTGGGACAAGGCCAACAATTCGGCGCTTTTAATACTTTGCCGCAAAACCCCATGAGCATGGATCAAACTTTCTTTCAAATGGCACAGGCTATGCCCTGGATGAATCCAGGCTTTGATAGCGGGATGCCATTCCCACCTTTTCCTTTCCCTGCCGATATGAATACCCCACTACCCTTCCAAAATACCCGATCTATGAGTACGATGGCCGGTGGCACGGGACAACGGTTCGCATCACCCCAAAGACAACGCTCGCCAACACCACCAGTCAAAATCCCGCTTCCCACACTGCAATACACAAACCAAGCGTCATTGAAGCCAGAGAAGACCGAAAAGCGACCACTCCTTGTTATCCTCGATCTCAATGGCACCCTCATCTACCGCAAGCTTCGCAAATTCCCCCCGAAATTCGCCAGACGCACGGGCCTAGATGAATTCCTAGCCACGCTAATCAAAGACTACAAAGTCATGATCTGGTCCAGCTCCCAACCGCAGACTGTAGAGGCAGTCTGCGAGCAGATCTTCCCAGGGCCCATGCATGATGCTATCGTCGCCCGCTGGGGACGCGACAAGTTCGGTCTGACCTCAGTTCAATACAACAAAAAGCTCCAGGTCTACAAGGAGCTGCACAAAGTCTGGGCGGAGACAAATATCCAAGGCGCATTCCCAGGCAACGAGCATCTAAAAAACCCCCCTGCCTCATCACCAGGCACCAATACACCGCACAAGAACCGCAAGCAAAGGCTTCGCGATGCCGAGGCTGCAAAGCTCACCGCGGGCCACCGCTGGGACCAGACCAACACTATTCTTATCGATGACAGCAGAACTAAGGCTTCTAGTGAGCCGTACAATATCCTTGAGATCCCGGAGTTCAGCAATGATCCTAATATCGATGAGACCGAGCTCTTCAATAAGGTCCTTCGCCGTCTCGATTATCTCGCCCACCACGACGACGTGAGCAAGGTCCTCCACGCCTGGAACGAACGCGTGGAAAAGGGCGAGGGAACTATCCTTGATTTGGACATCGGCATCCACGAGGATTCTGTCGACGATGAGGACGGCGGGATTAGTCTCCTCCCAACGCAGTTGAACGCTCCAAAGCAGCTGAATGCCGGCTCTAAAAGCGATCCCATAACGTTTGATGGTTCGAGAGATGTCCCTGCTCCTACAACTGCCAAGTCAAAGAGAAATAAGAAGGCCAAGGCTAGAGCCAAGGCGAATGCCGCAATTATAATAGCCCCGAACACTGCAGCTACGGGATCCGCAACCGCCACTACAACTACCCAGCCAACGCAATCCCAACAGAAAACAGAAGGGAAAAACGGGGAAATCCCAATGAGCCGCAAGGCGCGCAAAAGAGCTAAGGATGCCGCCGCCGCCGCCGCTGCCGCCACCGTCGAAGCTAAATACCAGGAGCCAAACGGTATTCCCACACCGAACGTTGACAATGGAACGAGCAGCCGAGTCGTCGCCAGTATCGAGCCAAACGTGCACGATTACCCAATTGGCAAAAAACCGAGTCGCCGAAGACAAAAAGGCCTCGCCAGAAGGGCTAAGTTGGAGGCTGATCCTCCTGTGGGTGAGCCTGTACAGCACAGATACATCTTCCGGAATAGGGATGTTGCTGCTCCTCCTGAAGCTGAAGCCGAAAATGCTTCTCCTTCTGCTTCTGCTTCTGCTTCTGGCTCTGGTTCTGGGGCGGTCTTTGAATCCGCCTCTGCTACTGCCCATGCTGCCAACGCCGCCAATATCATAACAAGCGGTCTATCTCCTGAGTATCTCCCTCCAGATGCGGATCTGACGGTGGGAATGCAATTGGACGTCGATGCGTATGTTCCGCCGGAAGTCATGACTACATCGGGAGCCAAGCATGACCGGTCCCCGTCACCTGCTTCATCGGTTGGGTCGAGGAATTCGCTGCTTGACCGTCTAGAGGAGGGCCTCGGGATTGTGAAGCGTTGAGGTGTGTTTAGCTATTAGCTGTTCTCGTGGTTGATGCATGGATTCATACTGAGCATAGGCCTCTTTTCGTTCTGCCTCCCATTTGCGTTGTTTCTTAGATATCCCGTCTTGTGTATTCTTACCTGTTTTAGATGGCTGGGTTTGTGGTTTGTGATGCCCGATGAATACTATTGCATAGTCAACGCATTGGCTCTGTCATACCATATCGGTTTCGTTCGTTTATTGTGTATCGTGTAAACGGCACTGATATGAAGTGTCTTCGCTGCTCTTCCTCTGTTTCTCTGTATTTTCCTTTCTTCTGTCTCTATATCTTGCACTCATCGCCCGCCAAATCAGACCCGCCGACTGCTCCATTCATCCCCATTACTTTCGATCTAGCTAAAACTACAAAGTAAGTGATACATTTGCACAAGGCCTCCATTATATAGGTCTCTCCACAGCCCGTGGCACCGCACCATGCTACGACTCCAAAGCGCACTCTTCCACACCTCGATCTACTTTTTCCGTATAAGCTAAATTACGAGTACCTCGTCGTTCCCCTCTTAAGGAGTCAGAGGAGGTTGCGAGGATTATCCAGGATTATCTTTATCTTAGGTTGGGAGTTGGGGAGTCTTGATGTTGAAGCTACGTCGTCGTTCCCTCGCTTGAAATGTGAGCAAAAGAAGGAGATTGTTCACAACAACGAGGCTCGCTACTTAGTTATATACATGAGATGCATATAGAAGAAGTAGAAGTCTGTGAATGAGCATTATTTTCGAATGCTTTTAGAAGAGTGTTTTCTTCTCGATACTGTTGCTGCTCTTGGCAAGAATGACCTTCTTATGACAGAGGTCATTTCTGAGAGGCTATTCTGGCACACCTCTGGCGGGGGAATATGTGAGTGCATTATTCCATGGTCGTGCAAGGTCAACAACCGGAGAGAGACATTGGTTATGCGTTCCGGGAAAGACACATAAAAATCGAGAATAGCAATGTCAGTTCTCATACCTGCCGAACCGACATCTCAAGGTAAAATCAACCGTTCCCAAAAACAGCACCCCAATACTCCCTCACCGCATCACAAACCCCCTCATCCGCGGCCCAACTCCGGAACTTATCCTCAAGCTCGCAAGCTGTCCAAAGAATCTCCTGCCAAAATCCCTTCTCGACATCAACCTTGTCATTGAACCCCCGCACAACATCCACCGGCAGCGTCCAGGCGCGCGTATACTCCCCCTCATCTGTAAACGCGGGGTTAACATCATGGAGCTGGAAGACAGTGGCAGGATTGAATTTAGGAAAGTTGGCGTGGATAAAGAAGACGTCTGGCGCGGGGGCGTCGTCACCTCTGACACGCCATATCCCGCGACTCGTCAGGGCGAAGTCCTGCACGGGATCGAACTGCGCCATTGCGGAGCCGGCTATGCCGCCGTGGATGGTTTCGTGGCCGAGGGCGCAGATGGACTCGCTGACTTGGTGGAAGGATTCGTGCATGGCGGTCGCGGCTGCGAGGAAGGTCTCCTTGTCGCCTTCGCCGGCGGCGCCTTGTGAGAGAAGGGGGTAGTAGTGCGAGGGCCCGTAGTAGTTGTAGTATGTTGCGAGGAGGAGGGAGCGGAGATGGGATCGTTTGGAGAGGAGGACTTCGCCTGATTCTGTTGACTGGCGCAGGTCCATTGGTGGGGGCGGATGGTTTGCGATTTCGTAGAAGTGTGGAGAGGCGGAGGAGGCCCAGAAGTCGGGCCAGGTGACCATGCCATTTGAGAGGAAGGGCTCGGTGGTAAAGAGATGTTCTGGTTTCTTGAGGGGGAAGGCGTCTGCGTCTAGGAAGAGGATTTCTTCGAAGGAGGAGAAGAGCATTGCGAGGGGCTTGAATTGGTATTTTTGGATTTGGGCTGGGGCCGCGATGAGGATGCGGGATAGAACTACGCACCGCGCGTTCAGCGAGGGTAGAACTACATCGCATATGTAGGGTTCGTACTCGTCTTCGTCGGAGAGAAATACCTCCATCGGGAGCGTGGAGCCGGTTCGGCGGAGCATGCGGAGGGATATCACTAGCACTGGGAGGTAGGGGCCCCCTGCTGTTGAGACTATGCCTTTTGTGTTGGGGAGGTAGGGGAGCTCGGGTGGGGAGTCGGCGATTGCATTGACGAACCCCGTATGCGCTTCTTTCATGGTTGTGATATCTTCCTCCGGAACGTAGAGGGTATCTGGGCGCGGCGGTGCATTGTGAGCATTGAAGCCTTCTGTGGGCGCCCTCTGATATTCGACGATAGGCTCTGTGCCCGGCGCATATTTCTCTAGCAGGGCGTGGAATTCTTGCCAGAATTGGCGATGTAATGGTGTTAGGTCTGTGGTAATGGCCCGTGAAGACGAGATATTGGGGATGTAGGATTTGAACTGTGTCAATATTGCCCAGGTGAGAAAGACAGCGAGTATGAAGGCTGCCAACAGCGCTCGCACGCGCAGAAAGGATCTCGGGATCATCGTGGAAGGTCTCGGATGTAAGTCCTCTACCCCACAGCTTGATCGATAAGATCGACGATCGTTCCAATGACGTCGATGGTCATGTATTCAAGGCGCGAGCTATGGCAAGTCATTCAATGGAGACATGCCATTTCCAGAATGTAAATGGAAGATTATCCCTTTTGCACAGACCGCTTTTTCGGCCGTATATAAGCCTTGAAGGATTCATGTAGAGAGGCAATCTTATATCAGCTCTATATATAATTGGTCAGCCTGTCGTTCCAAATAATCAACGAGGTCATACGGGAAACACTATTTGTTTTAAGCTACTTTAGGTAGTCACATGACTTACGATACTATTCGGATATCACCTGATCTGTCGTGTCTCAATTCAACCAATAATAGAGAATTTACTTCTGAAACCGGTGTGGAACCATCTATAATTGCTCTGTAGATCTGTAGATCTGGCTAGATCGCCTTCCTCTCTCCGTCAGCCACGTCTGGCTTCTGCCCATGTGCAGCGCAGCCCTTGTCGCTCGCCAAAGGCCAATGGTAAAGGACGGCCTGACTATATCTAATCCTCATCCCCCTGTCTAACACGCACCCCATACTCCTTCAATTTGCCAACAGTATCATCATCGAGGCGAGCACTAATTAATACGTCAGCTCAGGTTCTGATAATCAGAACCCCTTTGAAGCCAAGGAGATACTTACGTGGGTAAATATAGGACGGGAGGATAGCTCATGGTCCTTAGATAAGAATCTCTTTCGAAACCGGCCTCTTCGATGATCCTGAATACATTGTTAGCATGGTTGTACGAGTTTACTCTGTGCTGTATATAGACTTACTGATAGATTGTGTGCGCGTGATCCGTATATGCCTCTATATCCTCAAAATAAACGTGTGTCTTTATAGCACAAAGAATGTTAGCGTCGAGCCGTTGAATAGGAAGTATTTTCACCTGGTTGTGGCTATAGTCGTTGATAACATACCGTGGACATTTTGAAATAATAATTAGATTCACTGTAGAAGGTTCTGACTATAGAAGATTCTAAGACCAGGCAAGAAGGTCCTACTTATATCGTATTCGGTGGTAGAAAGGGAATTTCAATGAAATCAATTGCTGAGCTGAAATCACCCGTGCCCCCACTATGTACCCACCAGCTTCAGCTGATCATTAATGCGCAAGATCTTGCAGAACAGGTTCGGGTCTCATGTTGTTGCCCGATCTCAGGCTCGGCGCCTAGGACATGGCCCACAAGTCACCCAACGGAATGGACATGCTATGCGGTGAAAATCAACAGTGGAGGCCAACCCCACGATGGCGGCCTGTACACACTAAGCAGGGATTAAGTAGGGACTATAGTAGGGATTATAGCAGACAGGAGGTGATAGCGACGCCATTAGAATCTAGTCCGGAATATCTTTGCATGAACAGCTGAAGAAAGATCTGCTAGGAACTATTGGGTTTGTGGGGTATAGGAAACGCACGGAAATCAATATCGGCGAACACTAGCTCGGCGCTAGAAAATGTGAGCAGTAGGATCCGGTTGGGCTTTATGCCATTGGCTCATGGGTTGGGTCCGGGTTGCCTATAAGCACGTTACACGTATACCTATGATAAATCATTGATGTACGTGAGAGATGAGAAGAGCCGAGGAAAGAAAAAATACCCAAAAATTAGTCCATTGAACGGTGACTGTGTACTAACGCCTAGCACAACTTCAAATCTGATATGTGAAAGACGGAAATCCCTGTATCGGTCCATGCCTAACCTCCTCTCTCAAAGCCTTCAGCTCTTTATCTTTCTGAGAACTTTCTTCCTTCAACTCCTCATTCCTATGAGTGAGATATTCAATCCTCTTAAACGCAATTGAGATGGTTGTCAGTTTCCGAGCAAGTTTATGCGACAGATCGACCACAAACTCTCCCCCCTCTGTGATAAGTTCGTCCAGATCCTCGCCAACCAGCGTGGTGTACCGCAGTGCCACGAACTGAGATAGCAAGTTCCTCGCATTATCAATAGTACTAGTCGTCTTATAGACCAGTCGGATTGCATCCACCAAGTACGGGAATAGGATCTTGTCTGTCTGCTCTAGGGCAAGAAGGACCTCGGCCAGGCGATTCAGAGCGAATTGTTCCAATTTCACGAAGCCGAGTTGCCGTGCGAAGGAATACACTTTAGCGTGGAGATAAATCTCAGCAACATTTTCTTCAGCTTCTTGTTCTGGTTCTTCTTCCTGGTCTTGGTCTTCTCCTTCGTGGTCTCCGACCTTTTGCGCCGAAACATGCTCCGAGGGCAGAGTGACTCCAGCGCAGTATTCTAGAGGAGTCAGAGGCCGGTCATTTAGGTCGCACTCTGATAGGGCCAGGGATGGTGGTGAGTCTGGGGCTATGGGGGACTCCGCGACTGGTTGCAGAATCCTTGGATGTGCAGTTAACATTGGACATGGTGACTGTGGCCATGAAGTTTGTGACTGTGGGCTGTCAGGTGGTGATTGTGGTTCTGCATGGTATTAGTGTCTCGATATTTTTGATACCGAGATGGGAAGATGTAAGAGGGGGTTTATTACCATCTTCTTCATCCGCTTCCTCTGTTTCCTCCACCACTACTTCTTGTTCTTCCCCGTCTTGCGCTGGGGCCTCTTCCCCCGCATCTGTCTCACCTTCCTCGGCTGCCACAGAAGTCATTTGAGGTGCCTGATAACCTCCAGTGTAAAGGAAGTTCAATACACAATCAACAGTCTGCTCGTCAAAGCCACTCCAATCAATCGCCTCCTCGTATTCGTCAGTGGAAGCCTTTAGTCGGGCATCAAATGCGGGGTGGATCTCGAGTGTTCCACGGTGGACATAGTAAATGCGCTCGTCACTGCCCACAATGATCTTGACTGGCGGGTTTGCAAAGATTGACCTGCCTAAGAGTTAGCAAGAATCAGCGCGGTGAATACACCATAGTCTTGTGTGGATATACTTGGAAGATGTTTTCGAGTCGGACGGCATGATTGAAATTTGAAAAAGAGCAGAGGGAAATATAGATGTTCCCGTGCGGAGTATGTTGTAGAAGGTGGAGAAGATCAGTTTATGGGAATCTCACAAAACAAGCCAAGAAGTCCTCAGGTGCTTTTGGCAATGCAATGAGACCCAATCTATTTTAAAAGTAGGGCGACCTCTAGCAGGAGTATGCATGGGCTTAGGCTGTCACATTCTCTGCATATGTACTTCATACATGGTCAATTATATACATCACATGAGGTTGCGGGTTTTCGCAGCTGTTATTGCATGTATTCCGTAGGGCTTTACTGATTGGTTATAGCATACAAGTACCTCGGTAAGTTACATCCAAACCATTTTCACAATATTTTGGGGTTATAACACTGACATGAGAAAAAGACATACTGAAAGAGAACTAGAAAGACTACTGACAAGACAAGACATGACAAGACCGCATAAGTCTGTTCTTGTATCTTTATGTCCAAACATGATGGTATTTAAGAGTATTTAAACAATTCAAGTTCAGCAATGCGGCAATATGACTGGATCGGGTAGGTACTTAGCTCGGGAAATTGTGGGAACTGCTCTCTATCTACTCTTTATATTATCTGCGTTCATCGGACAATTCTAGGCTGAGATTGGTGTTATCAAGAGAGTACCTATTTAAACATAGATTTGAGGATGCTACATCACCGTACCTTTTATTGTTGGAAACTGGACGTGTATAATGTGATTGGTTGGATCGCATATGTGGCCCAATTAGGCAATATAGGGGGCGTTGGTCTACTAGACCGCAAAGTCGGTGCATATAATATATCTCAAGTGGAAGGATGTTGTGCGAAGATTCGATAGGTCGCCTCCTTGCCTGGGGCTCTTAGTAGTTTGATGAGCGGTCCGACCCGCCAGGGATAGTAAGCTCGATTGTACCTTATCATGTTGTACAGTATTATACACTAGGCTCGAGAGATATTCTTGGTCGGACTCGAAAGAATGAAACAGATTTTAGTGCTTGATTTGCATCCATGTGTCTGCTGGATGCCAATATCCTGGCCCTGACGATACGCAAACTCCACTGTCCTTCGCAGTGGCTCTTTGGGATTCTTCCTAAAGCGTGTAATCTATGAATTTGTAATCCAGCGCCTTCTTCGAGCTAGTTAGTTCTAATGTCTCCGAGAAGACCCCCCGCTTTGACCAACTTCATGTCCGAGTCTACCGAAATCGGATCTCACGCCTAATCACGCCTGAAGAATTCCCAGATTTGATTAGTCTGCACAGTGACAGAGATGAGAACTTGATGATATCATACAAAGAGTTCCAAGGTTCCCGATATCCATGATACTTAAGTAGTCCTGGAAGTATATGTTGACTAATCAACTACTGAGTCCATCCGTGGACTTCCACTGGATGTCAGAGCTGAAAAGTCGACATTAATTCATCCGAGTCGGAGACTTTCAGAGTCTCACTGCAAATCCGCTGGATATAAAAGCAGTACAGTAAACTTCAGTAGACTTCCTCTTAACCTCATCAGTGATTCAGCGATGGCAAATAAGCTTGGCATATTTCCAGCCTCTGGAGGTCTTGGAGGCAGTACCCTTAAGCACCTTCTTGAGCTAGTCCCTGCTAAAGAAGTGGTGCTAGTCGCTCGCCGCCCAGGGAAACTCAGCAAAGAAAAAGCCGCTGGAGCTATCATCCGTAAGGCCGATTACGACAACGCCGAGACACTCGACCATGCGTTTGACGGAATTTCGTCATTAAACTTGATCTCCTATGCTAGTATCCAGAACGAGCATCGATTTAAGGTATTCCTACATTTCCCACAACCTTTCGACGCATAAAGTCTAATCTGGTTTCATAGGTACATAAGTCCGCGATTGATGCGGCTCGAAAGAGTGGCGTTAAGCACATCTTTTACTCGTCTCTTGCGTTTGCCGGTGATGGAAATCTCAATACTAAGGCCCAAGTGATGCTTGCCCACATTGCGACTGAGAAGTATCTGGCCGAGCTACACGCTCAAGACCCACAGTTCACGTATACTGTCGTTCGCGAAGGGTTGTATTCAGAGTCCTTCCCACTCTATACTGCCTTTTTCGATCTCAAAGCTCCTTCTAACGAGATCTGTATCCCCCACGATGGCTCGGCTCCTGGCCTGGCTTGGGCTAAACAAGACGAGTTGGGGGAAGCAACCGCAAAACTCATTGCACAACACGCTCAAGATCCCGCTGCTTTCCCTTATTTAAACAAGACCATCCTTCTCTCTGGCCCTCGTGCTTGGTCACTCAAGGAAACAGCGGATGTATTCAGTCGTGTGCTAAATAAGCCAATCAAGATCCGACAGGTATCCGTGGACGAGTACGTCAAGCAGCCACAGGTCCAAAATGGTCTCACATATGGTGGTGGCAACTGGGCGCCTCTCTGGGCGACTGCTTTTGATGGAATCCGCGATGGTGAATGTGCGGTTGTTACTCCAAATCTAGCGCGACTGCTTGGCCGCGAACCTGAGCAGTTTGAAACAACCATCAAGAATATGCTTTCGGCTTGAGCGAGCGGTACCTGAAATCCAGGCTTATGTATTTAAGAATAGAGAGTCCATTTGGAAAGCGCCAGACCGGAGGCATAGAAATATTATGCACTAGACTTGAGATATCTGCACATCAGCCTGACTCATAGCTGTTCTCCTCCTCCTCCAAGATCGTCGAGTAGGGCAGGAACTTGCGATCATCCAGCTGCGCTGCTAGATAGTCGAAAGAATGATTTTGGGGCACAGAATATAGAAGCTCTTGCTTCACCCGAGGTCGCCGTGGCTCATTTGACTCTTCAATCCGCAGGAATTGTGATATGACGCTGCCGGTAAAATGTAGGATCATGCCTATAGTGGCTCCGACAAGCACAGCCACAGTCATGAAATAGATGAATCCCTATTAGAGTTTAGTACATGCTACCACTAAAGACTACGATATTTAGATATGCATACCTCTAATATCACGAGGATACGCAATGGAAGCAGTGCCAGGTATAAGAAGACATGTCCGATGTAGATCACTGGCGATGCGAGGAAGAGGAGAGTTGACAACAAGTAGGATAGTAATTGGATTATAAAGCCAACAACGAGCAACAGAGGATATTTCAGGATCGATACCCAACTCATGATTATTATGAAAATATGTGGCAAATCATCTAACTATGCGTCTCGACTGTTATGATATCCAAGTAACACGCGCCGCGGTCCAACTTCAAAGCCCTAAGCCCTAACCTGCCGGATTAGGATTCCGGCGTCATCGGCGTCTACTGTACCGTGACAATGCGAGTACATCAATCGACTTTGACTACTGCCCACCGCCAATCCTTACTTTGAGCTGGCGTCGGAAGTTTCTTTCTTAGCCCGCCATTGTGACTTAGTTTGACCCTCCCCTTTCCCCACCTCCCAGCAAAATCTCGGCCCAAGGCTATCGCACCTTTCCCCGCCTTCGATGGGCAACAACCCTTCCAAAGGCCCGGTGGGCGACGCGCCGTCTGCCCATGCCCACCACAGCTCTACAAGCGATCGAAAAGTCGCCCGTCGATCCTCTCTCAACACGATCTCGGCCCCGAAGACCACCGTGGCCGATCCTTCGGCCACAAAGGAGACAGCTGCTGGGCACTCGGCAGGATTTCAAGGATCCGTGCAAGAACGTCTACAATCCCGAAACGTCCCTGAATCTTCGCCCAAAAACATAGAGAAGGCTTCGCCACAAGACGTACGTCGAGCTGAGCCCTCCGCGGTCAAGGACATCCCATCCCGCGACCACTCCAACCCGGTCCAAGTCCCGATCTCGCGCAATGTCCCGGGGCGCGATCCTGTGGCACCATCGGCCCCGCTCCTCAATTCGTACTATAGCGCATCGGCCCACCTACAACATCCACCACGCCTGCCATTGCCAATTGGCGATGCCAACACCACGCCCGGATCGCCTGTCGCCGGCCCCGAGGACTCGCATATCCAGTCGATGCCAGCGGATCGCCTCTTAGACGAACGGATGGATCCGAGCACTCTGGCTTCAGGTCATACAACCATTGAAGAGGAGGAGTTGCTTGATGAGCTCCAGCCATACACCATCAGTGGTGCGGGCAAGGCCGTCCCGGTCCTTATTGAATGGACAGCGCCTGGTCAGAAGGTCTACGTCACTGGAACTTTTGTTAACTGGGAGAAGAAGTTCCGTCTGCACAGAAGGTTGGTCAAATGATGAGGCTAGGATTTCCGGGACTTGACTAACACTCGATAGTGAAAAAAATCCGTCCGTCATGTCTACTACTCTGAACCTTCGACCTGGCACGCACCACTTGAAATTCATTGTCGATGGAACAATGCGCGCTGCGGATAGTCTTCCGACTGCCGTCGACTTTACTAATCATCTGGTCAACTACATTGAAGTCAGTGCAGATGATGCTCATGACAAGGACTCGGCCGTTCCAGCGGGAGCTCAAACTCCAAACACGGTGCCAGATGCCTCTAAGCAGGTTGTAGGACATACCGAAGACCACCCTCTAGAAAAGGAAGAAACCGAGGAAGAGGTGCCACCCGGTGATTTCGGTGATGCCATTCCTCAATTCTTGGCCGACCTGGACAAGGAAGAAGATAGCCCGGCCTATTTCCAGGCCGCCAATGTCATCGGAGATACGGCTACCCCTCCCAGTCTGCCTCTCTTCTTGGGTAAGTCAATTCTCAACGGCACGACTCCCATGAAAGACGATAGCAGTGTTTTGAACTATCCGAACCACACTGTCCTCAATCACCTTGCCACGAGCAGTATCAAGAACGGTGTCCTGGCTACAAGCGCGACAACCAGGTATAAAAGAAAAGTAAGTCACTGCTCTATACACCTTTGTGGATTAACTAATCTGTCTGCAGTATGTCACGACTATTTTGTACAAACCGACTGGCGATGTCACAGAATGAGCTGTGTCCAAACATATAGGCGGTTCTTTTAATTGCATGCATACATTATTTTACCGAATACTGCCTCGGACATGTTGTGGTCTGTCCGATTTGCAGAGATAAAAAGATTTCCAAGCAATTCCCTGCCTTGTTCGGCTCATTTCTCGCCAGTCCTTCCTGTCTGTCCAGGTGTTCTCGGGTTCCTTAATGGCAACTAGATCCTATTACTAGATCGCCCAGTCATTGACCACAACCAATACACATGAATGTCCGTTGAACGATCTGTCTAGTGAGGAGATCACCACATATTACACATTTTTTCAGGCGTTACTTTCGTGCTGGGAGGGGATTTGGGATTTTACAGCTGTACAGGCGCTTCGATTTATGCAGCAATAATACAAATGGTTTGAAAACCGCTTGAGATGAGTGATGGATATGATTTTCCCAAATTTAACCGACCGAGTTCAAAGGATATCAGATTAGTCGCTCAATTCATAACACATAATAGATTTATTTTTGGTTCAAACAAGACATCGATATCAATCCCGCCACTTCACAAACACTTCATCCGTACGGAACCGCTGGGTACAAGTACTCTCGCTCAAGGGTGTCCGGAATCCGGTCCCGTATGCCAGCATACCAGCCTGTGCAATCATAATCCCGTTGTCGATACAGAACCGCTCATCCGTTGCGTAAACACTTCCACCGCGATCCCGTGCCATGATACCCATCATCTCCTGCAAACGCTCATTGGAGCCAACACCACCAACAATAAGAACCTGCTTCGATCCAACATGCGCCATTGCGCGCTCGGTGATCTCAACGAGCATTGAGAAGACAGTTTCCTGGAGAGAGAAGCACAAATCTGCGCGTGTGGGCTTGCCTTCTAATGACTCGTCCGCGGTGATAGAATCAACCGTCTTCTGTTCATCTTCTCGCGCCTTCTCCTCCCCGCCTAGCCCCCACTGCTTAGCGAGACCATCGATCGCAGCCAGGATCCCGGAGAATGAACAGTCCATGCCCTTCACGACGTATGGAAGATCGACTAGCTGCTTTCCTTGCTTCGCTAGCTGTTCAATGTTATATCCTGGTGCTGGGTCGTTGGAGATATGCAGCGTGCGCGCGAACCGATCTAGACAGTTCCCTACTGCCATATCGAGGGTCTCGCCGAAGATGCGATATCGTTGCGAGCTGTATGCGATGACCTGCGTGTTACCGCCGGAGACGTATAGGACGACTGGGTTTGTTGCGCCAGTGATGAGGCGGCCCATTTCGATGTCTGGAGATTCACATAGTCAGCGGTTTGTTCGAGTTCCAACTCCAAATAGGAGGCACGGTTTATGACATAGCTTGCATAAGTACTTACGTCCAACACAGTGGTTCACCCCGACCAGCTCTTTACCCCACAGCAAACTCAACATCCGCGCGGCGATTACCACACTCTGTAGCGGGGCACCCATTCCGGGTCCTTTGGTGAAGCAAATGCAGTCCACATCGTCGACGGACACCTTAGCCTCTTTGAGAGCTTGCTTGACCAGCTTCACAACCCATGATCGGTGATGGCGCGCTGTATCCTTGGGCAGGAAGCCCTCGCCTGGTGGGGAGACATAGGTGTGTCTGATATTGGCGAGGACCTGCGGGGCGCTGCCATCCTTGGGATGCAGCATGATGCCGATGCCCAGTTTGTTGGCCGAGCCTTCCATACCAATTGCGATCATGATGGGCGGTATTTCAAGATATCAACGAGACTGTACCAAGTGAAAGCCAATACCTTCATACGCGATGTATGAGACCTCGGGCGGCGGCGTCTGATTTTCGTTATCGTTATCGACCTTTAAAGCGGCACCCGTCGGTTGTCCCGAACTAAACCCGAGCTACCCTTCTCTCTACTTTGCATACTCCCGACGGTCTTCTTCTTTCCCCTCTTCTCCATTATTTTCCTTTCCCCTATTGTATCCACTTCATTTGCTTCTTCGTTTCACACCCTCTCCCTACTCCTCCTTTCCCTCCCAGGGGATCTCTCCCGCCATGTCTTCTACAGCCCACTTCCCTGACGCTGAGGGCTTTCAACAACAGTCTGACAACTTCATGTCATGGCTGCAAGCCAGCCCAGGTGTACGGCTCAATCCCAATCTGAGGCTCGCAGATCTCCGAGCAACTGGAGCTGGACGTGGTGTCGGTAAGTCTTGAAAGAATATACTCCTAAACCACACAAAAGTGCATACGGAGTCTCCCCAAAAATGAAGGTTTCATAATTCTCATAGTCAGTCTCTAATATCTCGCCCGGGCTCTAGTGGCACAAAGCAACATCCCGGAAGGTGAAGAACTATTCTCTATCCCGCGCGCCATGGTCCTCACCGTGCAGAACTCGGAGCTGAGGAACCTGCTCGGCGAGAATTTAGAGGAGCAGATGGGTCCGTGGCTTTCTCTGATGCTGGTCATGGTGTATGAATATCTGCAAGGAGAAAAGTCAAGATGGGCTCCATATTTCAGAGTTTTGCCCTCTCGTTTTGACACCCTGATGTTTTGGTCGCCCGCCGAGCTGCAGGAGCTGCAGGCTAGTACTATTTTGGAGAAAATTGGTCGGTCAGACGCCGAGGAGTCAATTCGGGATTCCATCGCTCCAGTTTTGGCAAAGAGGCCGGATCTCTTCCCACCTCCTTTTGGTCTCAAGTCTTGGGAAGGTGATGCTGGTGACGCTGCCCTCATTCAAGTGGGCCATGTCATGGGGTCAATCATTATGGCCTATGCATTTGACATTGAAAAGGCCGAAGACGATGACAATGAAGGAGAGGCCAATGAGGAGAGCTACATGACTGATGACGAAGAGGAAGAGCAGCTGCCTAAGGGGTTGGTGCCGCTCGCGGATCTCCTTAACGCCGATGCTGACCGAAACAACGTGAGTTTGGACACGATAAATTTTTTTTTCAACCCTAATTTTAACCCCTTTTGTTAGGCCCGTCTGTACCAAGAAGAAGGCGCCTTAGTCATGAAGGCAATCAAGCCAATTCAACAAGGCGAGGAAATCTTCAATGATTACGGAGAGATCCCCCGTGCAGATCTCCTCCGCCGGTACGGTTATGTGACCGATAACTACGCTGTTTACGACGTACTTGAAATATCATTGGAAACTATCTGCGAAGCCGCAGGGCTTGCGAACGCAGATACCGAGTCCCAACCCCGACTAGAGTTCCTCTCAAGTCACGACATCCTCGAGGACGGCTATGTGATCCCCAGACCCGTCAACGCCAACCCGTCTTTGCAAGATATACTGCCAGCCGAGTTGGTGGTCCTTCTGGCTACGCTGGCTCTCTCCCCTGAGGAATTCAAACAGCGCGTGGCTAAGGACAAGGCTCCCAGGCCAGTTTTGGACGCCAATGCGACCGCCATCTTAATCAAGGCGCTGCAAAAGCGACAGGCACAATATGCTACGTCGTTGGCCTCGGACCTCCAATTTAGGGCTTCGCTTTCTCCGTTGCCTGAATCTGGTCACGTGGATGAGGCCGCTCGCCGCGTACGGATGGCATTGCAGGTCCGCATTGGCGAGAAAGAGGTCTTGCAGGCTGTCTTGGGCATGCTGCAGCCCGCTACTTCTGGTTCATTGAAACGTTCTGCCAACTGTGATGATGATGAATCGCGACAGTCCAAGACTAAGAGGATGTGAGCCCCTTTTTTGCTCTTGCTTGCATTTACTCTGGCCGATATCAGTCTGTTCTACTGAACCCCAACAGAACCAAAAAAAAGTGCTTTTTGCGAGTGATTAAATTGTTTTAGATTTTCTGAATGTTTTTGAGCCTTTTCCTTTGCCCTCCCATTCGTCGCTTGCATCATAACTTCGGTTATCCATCATACAAAGGCTGCCCGACACCAGCCAACACCACCGAGATTCGGGAGAAAAAAAAATACTATGTACACTAACAAATGCAGACGCACTTAGCCATGAGTGGCTAGCACCTGCGTTGAAACGAAATGTCAAGAAAGAGATGTGTGAGGAGGAGGTGAGCGGAAACGCAAAAAAAGAAGAAACAAACCAGCCCGCCCGCGGAATTCATGAAACATGATAGGGTAATAAAACTACAAGTGTGTTAAAGGGGAAAAAAGGATAAAGAGACGAAGGGAACCGAGCCACGAGGGAAGCCAGAGCCACGAAGAAAACGCCCGCCAAATGCTGTGGAAGAGAAAAGAGGAGAAGAGTCATTCAGGTTTCGGACACCGTCACGGCACCTGGTCCGAGGTTCGACCCCATAGAGCCTTGGTGACCATTTTGCTCCAGCAGTCGGCGCTGTGCTTGGGCTTGGGCTGCCTGTGCTTGCGCCTGCGCATGAGCCTGGGCAGCCACTGCAGCCTGTTCGCGCGCCTTGGCCATGGTAATAGCCCGATGCTGCATGATTTGGATGCTGTACGCATCTGTGTCATAATCGTGGTCCTCGTCGGAATCTTCTTGGTCAAACTTGAATCGGTCGGCCTTGAGTGGGTCCATCTCAACTTTATTTGCTCCCATGTTGCGACGATCGATCATCAACCGACCACCACGTCCAACTCGTCGTCGGAAAGATGGCATTCGGTGTGGTACGTCGTGCATCTCCATGTCATGCGATGCAAGCTTGTCTTTAGAGAATAGCGGGCTAGTGACGTCTAAGGAGGTCTCCATCTCGCCAGATGATTCTGACGATGGAGGAGTGGGCAACTGTGCCGTGAATGCGGGTCGGAAGGTAGCCACATCGAATGTCCTTTCTGGAGAAGGAGACAGTGGTGCACGGGTGTGATCCACGTATCCCTCGTTCCACTTGATGTGCTTGGTGATGTTCTGCTTGATATCGCGCAGAATCTCGTTCTCTTTTTCGGCCTGCACGTCTTCCAGGAGTTGCAAATCCTCTGCACCTTGCCCAGCCTTGAGAGGCATGCGCAATTGAGGGGCATTGGGACGTTGAGCTGGCATATCGAGCGCTCTCTTTTTCGGCTGTGGGTGATTGCTTAGCATATGCATATATTGAGCAACCACAGTATCAACGCCGCCTACCTTTTGGTTGATGAGGTCCTCATCATCGTCCTTGACGTTGAGCTTGCGCTTCATCTCCTTGACCTCAGCACGCTGCTTGAAGAGGTGCCGCTCCATGGAGAGCATTTCCCTCCGAGCAATTTCACGCTGGCGCACCAAAGCAACGAGCTCGCGAGCATCTTCCAGCTCTTTGCGAAGACGTCTGAGCTTTTCGGCACTCTGCGCATCTCTACCACGAGTTTTGCGGATCTGGCGAACCTCGCGTCTACGGAAACAGACAAATGGATCACTGTCGTCGGTGTCTTGACCAGTTTCGAACTGCGGAGAAGTTAGTGACGTTGCTTGTCATTGGCATGGGAAAAGAACGTACCTTGAGCTGCGGTACAATTGCGTTATTCTGAACAGACATCCGACACGACTTCCAGTGCTCATATATCTCCTTGGCAAATATCTTCATGGGATCTTCTAAGGTGGCATCCATCATGTCCTGCATCTCTGCAAAGGATAACACCGGGGGATTATCAATGGCTGCGTAAGGCTGCTTTATCTGCGCCGTCTCCTCGAAGAAATTCATGACCTCCTCAAAGATATCCTCTGTGCAACGACCAGCAGATGGATCACGCTTCTGGTTCATGAGCTTAAGGTAGGCATCATCGTCCTCTGTCATGTTGTACGGGCATCCGCAGCAATCCTCGACAGTCGAGGAGAAGCGAATGTACGTCGCAGGCTGCGAGAAGATGGGAGGATAGAGTTCGTCATATTGAAGATTACTGAGAATGGTCTCGGGAGTAGGGATGTGTGCCTCGTTTACTTTGCCCTGGGCAGTGGCATTAATTGCACGTTGCAGGTGAATTTCCTAACCCGATCCAAGGTCAGCGCGACTCATTTTATATTGGGGTGAAAATCTCGTGATGATGTCACGTGATGGGGATGGGGATGAGGCTAAAATTAGGGACTCACCGACTCCTCGGCCTTTTCGACGCCGGTTTCGATCTGCTGTAGAGAGCTCTGGATTTCATCGTCGATGATATCGATCTCTGACTCCCGGACAACGGGAATAGATGCCTTAGAGGTGAGCTTTTTAGGGCGTGTCCTGCCCAGGCCCCCGTACCGAGTCATAGCGTCGGAACGCGCAATAGGGCAACGACCATGGGCGGGGACGGGGTAAAATGGGAATCAGTACAAAGCTCTGTGTATGCGCTTTCTCGTAGACGTATTTTTGAGATGGAATTTGATGGAGGGGGGGAGATATTGACGACTGAAGATGAGGTGATTCACGGCTAGCGGTTGGGTTGACGTTGTAATGTCAGCCGGCAGTGGCCTGTTTTGGCCGAGTGCACGGCCTCAGGGGCTCGCTTGCCTGTCCGCTTCCGGTTAGTGCGGGGCTGGGCGATATCAGATTCCCCGGGCCGTTGGCAATAAACAACCCTTCGCCTCCTCTTTTGCTGTCTTGCTTAATCTGGCCCTTCTTTACTTGCTGTTCCACTAGTCCTACAACTTTATTTGCTACATTTATCGCATAACTCGCCACCGTACCTCGCTCTCTTACATCTCCTTTCCCTCCCCAACTACCCAACATGGAGCCCTCCACCAACGAGCCCAACGCTGCTGCGATTTACGATGCGCGGAGACGCCGCGGCTCCGTGGGTACCACCCAGCTCTTCGATAACATTGTGTCTACATCCAACTGTATGTTTTCCCCGGTCGGATAGGGTATGA